AATCTCAATTCGTATGGTAAACGAGCTTTTTCTGTTGCTGCTCCGGAACTTTGGAATAACTTACCTGAGGATATTAAATCTGCAAACTCAATTGATGATTTTAAACGCAAACTTAAAACATTTCTTTTTATGCGAGCTTATGAATCGGGACGTTTTTATTTGTTATCTATTTTCTTATCTATTGTGTACATTTATCTATTTTGTAGTTAGCGTCTAGTTTTAATGCCAATTTCTTGCGATTATTTTTACTTTTTACTTCTATCTAATTTTTTGTAAACAGCGCCTTTGAATCTTGTAGAAAAGGCGCTATATAAATGGAATATTATTATTATTATTGAAAAAAAAAAGTTCATAAGGTAAATGTTTTGCACCAGCTACATATTACATACAAGACTGGAAGTTTTAGTTCCATATATTATCCATGAATTGAAGTAGTGCAGAAGGGTTGGCAAGGTGACAGTGTTTAAATTCAGGCGCATTTCCGTCCTTACGTCAACAAGGACATCTTCACCCTTATCGTTGCCTTCGGTGCTATGACATGAATCAGTGTTATCTTTCTGTAAAATAAAGGAATAAATAATAATAATGATAACAAGTGCATGATATTATTTATCGGGCAAGGAAGTGAAGGACAGTACATTTTTCAAGAATAAAATACGCCTTTTCCAGAATGTTATGGTTGGCAAAAACTGTTTTTATGTTGCAGCTATACAGCCCGCAAGAAAGGGACAGAGAAGAGAGAGGCGGTGGAGATACCCAAAAGACGTACGTTACTTGAAAGCTACCACAAAACTGCGAGAAAGTTCATTACCTAGCGTTTAAAATGAAAACAGAAAAATGAAAAAGAAACTTGTAGGTATGCATTGAGCCATTTAACCATCAGTTTGTAATGTCCCATTGGATTACGTCTTATTAGAACTAATGTTGCCTATACCAAAGTTTGTAATGATGCCAATGGGCCCTCGCACATGACTTATGTCACGGATCCACCCTGGGAAGAATTGCGGGCGCATTGAGACACACAGCTGGATACCTATCCTATCAGGCCCATCACAAAAGCAGCCATGAAAACATAACAACAAGCGCTTATTCTAACCTTGCCCTCAAGTGTTTTTGTTACATGATCCACAAAATATTTCGACCGCCAAACGTTATATATGGCCTTCACCAAACGGGATCCCGGGACACCGTTCTCATATTTGGTGGCAATTGATTGCCAGTAAGACCCTTCTTTCAGTCCCTTAAAGGTATCAGAAGTGCCAGGGAGTCCGGTCTCAACTATTAGTTCTGCTAGTCGCTGACAATCCAGATTTTGACGAACTCTGACTTTGTATTGAGGAAATGACACGCAATAAAAGTCGTTGTTATAAAATAATTTCAATTACAAGCAGGATAAAAGATCAAAGCAAACAATAAAAGAAAAAAAGTAGACAACTTACCTTTCTTGTCATTATTCCATTATCTTACGTAACCCCCGACAAGTCCCAGGTTTGATGAAATGCCGTCCGTGTGCGCTTTTAACGAGGTATTTGTACTAATTTATGATTGTCATAATGTTGTCATTGTTCGTTTGAAATTATGACGAAAAAAACAACAACAACAAAACGGTCCAGACCTGGAAATTACTAAGAGGGAAAATCATACTAACTTTGGAATAGAAAACATCGAAGCGTAACAATGTAAATAATGAGAAGCGGGTCTTTAACCACTTGACAATCCTATTGCGATGATAGAAAAGGTACATCTGTTGACTTTATTTAACTCTTCATTTCTTTTAAAACCACTAAAGAAAACGCACTTTCAAATTATTCTGTTATTCAAAGAAATGGGTCTAAAAGGGCATTGATATGAGGTTGTCATACAGTGAGGAATACATTAAAACTATTTTTGCAATAATTGAATTCTCACGTGACAATTTATGCAATGCCGGAAATGCTCACACGTGCCCGGGGGGGGGGGTACTCCCTAATATGGGCTATATAGGTATGTGCGGCCCCAAAGGGTAGGGTTTTTCAGCCGTTTTGGTCATAAATTGGGTATCGATTTTGGCTATTTTGCCGCCATTTTGGTCATAAATAGGGTAACGATTTTTACACTGTAGTCTTGAATGCACTTTTTTAGAAGAAGCTACTTCCTTATCATGTCCCCATAACCTAATAAAAGCAGATAAACATTGCCTTTAACATTGGTCTGAAACTAGGGAAATAATTATAAGGCAGGTCTGAAACAGGGTATTGATTTAAGGGTCAGGTCATAAATAGGGTATCAAATTTTTGGTTAGGTCATAAATAGGGTAGGGAAAATCGCAGATTTTGGTCATAAATAGGGTAAGGGTTTTGGGAAGCGGGCCGCACACCCCTACCCAATTTTTCTGCGAGTACCCCCCCCCCCCCGGGCACACGTGCTTCTAGTCTTAGTAAATACACGTTGTTCGTGTTGCCCTTTCACAGAGTAAACGTGTTGATATGGGTCTAAAAGGCATTGAGATGAGTTAATCCTACAGTGGGGTTTACATTAAAACTGTTTTTGTATGAACTGAAATGTCACGTGACAAGTTATTCCATGCCGGAAATGCTCACACGAGCTTTTAGTCTTGGTTAATATACGTTGTTGGTGTTGCCATTTCACACAGTAAACGTGTTGAGATGGGTCTAAAGGGCATTGAGATGAGTTAACTGTACAGTGACGTTTACATTGAAACTGTTTTTGTAAGAATTGAAATGTCAGGTAACAAGTTATTCCATACAGGAAATGCTCACACCAGCTTCTAGTCTTAGTAAATATACGCTGTTCGTGTTTCCGTTTCAAACACTTAACGTGTTGAGATGGGTCTAAAGGGCATTGAGATGAACTCATTGTACAGTGAGGTTTACATTAAAACTGTTTTTGCAATAACTGAAATGTCACGTGAGAAGTTATTCCATACCGGAAACGCTCGTACGAGCGTCAAGTCATAGTAAATGTACGTTGTTGGTGTTGCCCTTTCACACAGTAAACGTGATGAGATGGGTCTAAAAGGCATTGAGATGAGTTAATCCTACAGTGGGGTTGACATTAAAACTGTTTTTGTATGAACTGAAATGTCACGTGACAAGTTATTCCATGCCGGAAATGCTCACACGAGCTTTTAGTCTAGGTTAATGTGGTTAATATACGTTGTTGGTGTTGCCATTTCACACAGTAAACGTGTACAGATGGGTCTTAAGGGCATTGAGATGAGTTAACTGTACAGTGAGGTTTACATTGAAACTGTTTTTGTAAGAATTGAAATGTCAGGTGACAAGTTATTCCATGTCGGAAATGCTTACACCAGCTTCTAGTCTTAGTAAATATACGATGTTCGTGTTTCCGTTTCAAACACTAAACGTGTTGAGATGGGTCTAAAGGGCATTGAGATGAGTTCATTGTACAGTGAGGTTAACATTAAAACTGTTTTTGCAATAACTGAAATGTCACGTGAGAAGTTATTCCATACCGGAAACGCTCGTACGAGCGTCAAGTCATAGTAAATGTACGTTGTTCGTGCTGCCGTTTGACACAGTAAACGTGTTGAGATGGGTCTAAAGAGGATTGAGATGAGTTAATTGTAGAGTGAGGTTAACATTAAAACTGTTTTTGCAATAACTGAAATGTCACGTGACAAGTTATTCCATGCCGAAAATGCTCACACAAGCTTCTATTCTTAGTAAATGTACGTTGTTCGTGTTGCCTTTTCTCACAGTAAACGTGTTGAGATGCGAGTAAAAGTCATTGAGATCAATATACGGTAAGGTTTACAATGAAATTATTTAACTGATAATTGAAATTGCATGTGAAAAGTTATTCAACACTCGAAACTTTCGTACAAGCTACAAGTGTTATAAATGTTCCATGTTTGTGACCCTTTTTCTCGTACTAAACGTGTTGAGATGGATGTAATGGGCATTGAGATGACCTAAACATGCGGTGTAAATTATAACAAAATTGTAATAATGACAGGTAATATGCAGCATTAAAAGTTATTCTGTAGCAAACCTTGTATCAAACTAAATAAAAATGAAGATCAAATACTCCTCTATTGCGATGTCACGCAACAAATATTCGTCATTCAGAACAGCTGAAGGGGTTTGAAAAACCCTGTTTAAGGCGAATGTAACAGTTCTCTTACTGGTTCTCATATATAATGTGAATATTTCTCGCTTAAATCGAATTGGCAGACAACTTCAACCAGTCGAATTGGCAGCCGGCGAATTGGCAGTGAATTGGCAGACAACTTCAGCTTAGTTTTAAGAAATAGCCCTAATAAGATCGAGTTGGTTCACAGGTAGCCCAAGCTCGAAATATGAGCTTCGTTGAACATCGGTATTGTTGCGTAACATTCGAAATATAAGGATTTGTATGGGATAAAAACCTATCGTTTCTGTAACCTACGAAAATGAAAGGATTTCAATAAAAAACAGCTTACCTTACGATTTTTTCTCTATATAGGGAGAAAACTGTTTACATAAAAACCCATACAAAGGCCATAAATCGGCCCGTGGACCACTCAGGAGAGACGTAACGCACATTTTAAGTAAGGTAAACTGTTTTTTTTTTTATTGAAATCCTTTCATTTTCGTAGGTTACAGAAACGATAGGTTTTTTTTCCCATACAAATCCTTATATTTCGAATGTTACGCATTGAAAGGCGATGTTCGCCGATGCTCATATTTCGAGCTTGGGCTACCTGTGGTTTTAAGAAATAGCCCAAAAATGTTGCGCTTTCGTTTGAGGTGATAAATAAAAGGCCCCTCAGGGGCGGATCTAGGGGGAGGGTGCATGGGGTGCGCCCCCCCTGAGATGACCTGCGGTTTTCGAATACAACTGGTATTCTGAAAAAAAAAAAAAACTATGTGGCTTTTTGGTGTTGAAGTAGAGCAAGAAACGAGTGAACCCCGTCCTAAAAAAAAAAATCCTGGATCCGCCCCTGCCCTTACATCACATCTCCATTGCCCACATAGACTCCGCTGGCACGTTGTTCGCGGTTTGTCAGCTGGCGAATGCTGCAAAAGGCGCGAAGATTTTCGTGAAGGATTCTTCTGTATATTTTTTTGTAGGATATATTACTATGGCCACAAAAAGTAGAACGTATGGTAGGGGAATTCTGCGCTTTAATTCGTGGGAAACATGCAGACGTCCAGGACAGCTACACAACTCGCATGGTGCTCGTAAATGCGAAGAATCAGCTGCATGCATGCCGCGTGTTGAAAATGGCAGTCAAAACCACGCGCAGAACGGCGGCGTAAAGTCAACAAACCTGAATGAAACAACGGGATCTTCGGAGAAGAATACCGTGGGTAAGCTTGACATTTCACGGAAGACATTTTTCATTTGATATCATCCGCACAGTGAGATGACTTGGATCTCAATGGGTAGCCTGTGTCAGTTATCACAGGAAGACCACTCTAGTCCAATTTGTCTTTGTTCAAATTGTTGACACTGAAATTGCTGTTAAAATAATAAGTAAATTGTTCAATATGTATTTATGTACCACACAGTTAAATCTTACACATTTCTGAGGAAAAAGGCTGGACCCTTGTTGTCCTCTTGATCATATAATCAATTCAAAAGAAATTTTGCGAAACTATGACAAGGGAATAAACAAGCAACCACTGAAGACAGAAGAGGAGAGGTTAGGTTTAGACTGTATGCCATATACAGAACCCTTGGGGTGATTACTGCAGGATCAAACCTTGCGCACAGAAGTGGAGTCACCGAGGGAATCAGTACATACCCATCCTGAGCTTGGCAAAAACCCACGGGGGAACTACCCCCAGATGGCTATTTTTAATAGGGGCATGTGATAGATTTCTACCCCCTCAACATTTAAAGAGTCAGAAAGTCCTGGGGACAAGGTTGATACAATCTCATTATCTTAAATCCAAATTTAAGATGGGTTTAACCTTGGTTAAGAACGTGTGTGAAGCAGTGCTGAGATCCTTGTTCTGCGATGCCAATGGACTTGACGAATAACTGGAAGTGTGTTTCAAATTACCTTCCATATTGATTGGCATATCGACAATGGCTTTTTTAACAGGCCAATTATGGTGTGTACTCAAATCCTGGTATACGGGTTAGGTCCCTGAACAAGGATTTTGGTGCTGTTTCGTAGACAGAGTTTAGTTTCGTCTGTGGCGCAGGCTAAGATGCGAGGTGCTTGTCAATTTGAATCAACTTTTATAACTTTTTACTTTTAGCACCTGGAGTACCAACTGTACCTAAACAGACCGATGATAAACCTGTTAGACTTTTGGCCAAGTACAGTTATAAAGGAAACCCAGACAGACCAGGTGGATTTGATGAGTTAACAGTTACACAAGGAGAGACGCTAGAATTTTGTAGAGCTCACCCTAAAAACCCACATTGGTGGGAAGCAAAAAATAGAAATGGCAATGTAGGATTTATACCTGCTACCTACATGATGGTATGTTAGTGAGTCTTGAACCTGAGGCCTGGTCTAAAAGTAAGGGGGGGAGGGCAGGCCCCACCCCTGGATCTGTCACTGGAGCATGAACAGGGAATGCTGGGAAGGAAAAAGGGAGAGAGGGCTTTTTCTCCCCTTCCCAGCACTCCTTTCACTCCCACTTTTGTTAATAATTAACTCAGATATCCCCCAAAAAGTGATCACAAGAGACTGGGGACGAGGCAGGTGCATATCAGCAGTGATGAGGAAGCCTGATTGATCGTCATTTTTACAGTCTGTTGACTTAAAAATACACTGTACCCAGGACTAAAAGTCCAGGGGGTAAAATCACTGGTTACCATACAAATAACATACCCTCTGTTTTTAAGCATCTATCCAACAACCAATCAATTCATCAATCAATTAATTTTCCTAGAATTGCCATTAACATGAAACACTCTGCTCTAAGAAAAATTGAAGGGAGCCCAGTACATCCAGGGTGCCCTGCATATGTTTCTAACAAAAATCGTAGATCTGCTATCTTCTGGGAGCAAAAGTTAGGCACCAGGGGGCCGCCGGGCACTGCTAGAGCACAGCCTTGTGCAATCTTTATGGAATAAAAATGATGGTTGATTTGGCTTAAAAAATTATTGATGTTAAATACAATGCAATTTATTAGGAAAGAAAATTTTGTCTGTATGATTGTTCGCTGGTAGGTCCTTGAAGACAAAATTTCGGCTTTGCCTTGGCTTGAAGACAAAAAACAACAATTGACTGAAGAGGAAGAAGAGAAAAATAAAACTCTAGGAATGTTTGGTCAACCTCCAATCAAGCCTTATGTCTCAGGTGGGAAAATCAATTATGAGTAACAGCTGCCAAATGTCTAGCCCAAGAAAGTACTGAACATTTTGCACACCTTGCAAAATGTTATCTGAGGAACGACTGCAAAAATTCCATACTGATTATGTGATAGTGGTTCTTTGGTGGTTGTGTGAGGAAAATTTCCTTCAACCATTCGGAAGCACTACCCAAACATACCGTAGGTAGTGACATGTCACTAGTAAGCAGTTCCTGTAGTTGTTCCTCAGATGTCAATAGGGACTTTAAGATCCAATGACGTGATGGCAACGAGAATATTGCTTAAAAGTCAATTTGCATTTTTTCAGTCTCTCTCGCAATATTATTATTCCTACCTACATATTTTGTGAAATGTAGGCGAACCCTCCTGAAGTTGAATTCCAAGGGACCATATCCAAGTTCAGAGAGAGAGAGATTATATTTCTTTGTTGCTTGTTTACATTCTCCATAAAACGTGGAATTTCGGCATTTTCACGTCGTAGTCATGCAGTGACAACAAAGAAATATATAAAAAAGCATGATGCACATTTTTTTTTTTTTTTTTTTTTTATTGCAAGTAATACACACACAGAAAAGAAACAAAAATTACACAGAATAAATAAAGTAATAAAAAAAAAAAAAAAAAGTAACAAATAAAGTAACAAAAAAAAACAAATAGCGAATTTACACACTTACATGGCAATATACTTACAAATATTAAAATACGTTACAGCAATGGTAATTCCATGTATTACTGTACTTAGTATAATCTATAATTAATTTTTACATTTTTTCTTTCTTTCTTTGTGGTGAAAGTAATATAAATGCTCATAGTAGGTGCACTAATTTATGTTTTTGGAGTTAGGAGACAAGACCCAGCGAGGAAAAGAAAGGTTTCCATTTTTTTGTATTGCGCGGTGTCTTATTTTCTAATTGGTATATATGTCTCAGATAAAACAAGAAATTGTTATGAATTGGGAAACATGATGCACATGCAAAGGTGTTGTTTCCCTTATTAAACCTTTGACGTTCTCGTTGTGGTCGCGTCATTGGATCTTAAAGTCCCTAATTTGTGAGGAAACCATTATATTCACCTTTTGTATCTCAGCTTGTATGCTGACAGCCTGAGAAAACAGAGGACATTTGGCAACACTACCACTGGTTTCCCCGTCAAATGACATCTGAGAAATGAGCGCAGAAATTCCATTAATTGATGACGGGTCACTACCCAGATCTGGGTAGTGCTTCTGATTGCTTCAATCCAATTTTCCATGTGGCATGACTAATCAGAACACTACCCAGATCTGAGTAGTGATGCATCATTAGTATGGAATTTCTGTGCTTGTTTCTCAGACGTCATTTGGCGGGGAAACCAGCAGCAGTAGCATGGCCAAGTGTAAGCTGTTTTCTCAGGCTAGTATGCTGACCCAATTGTGACACTTTCTGGTCTTCTCAGCCAAGCTGTGATGCTTAAGAAAATGGTTTGATTTGTGTTTTCTCTTTAACAGCATACGGAAACAATGCAACAAAAGACAATGCAAGCGAAAACTTCTTCTGTGATGTTTGCAGCAAGAAGCTGAACGGACCTATTCCTTATAAAATGCATTTAAACAGCAAAGCACATAAAGAGGAAGTTGCACTGAAAGATGAGTTTGGCTATTGATGACTGCTGTATCCAACAGATATTTTTTTGACGTACAATGCCAAAGATTCTACAGTTTGTACTTCTGTTCAAATTTGGGAAAAATTTCCATTAGTTTCCTCTTCTTACCCCAGTTGTTGAAAAGGTGAATAACCCTATCCACCTGATAAATCTCTATCCAGTGGTTAATACAGTAAATTTGACTCCTTAACAGGGCTGTCAACCGCCCACGTCTTCAAATATTGATAATTGACTGGGGAAGGGTTGATAGACGGCATCATAATGCATGGCACATGACTTCATTTGTGAAAAAAAAAACGCACAAAAAAGATGTTTGACCTAATTGGTTTACTTCCCACCAATCACAAATATTGCTTATATTACAATGGCATACCGGAGTTTGTGAGGAAAACTGTTTGATGTTAACGGTATGATAGCTCAAACAACACAAAATATTTGAAATTTCATCGTCAGAAAAATTCGAATCTACAAGAAATGGCAAACGTGGGCGATTATCCGGGAGATTTCAGATTCTAATCTGAAGACCGGAAGAAACTGTTCAAAATCTGGAGTCTCCCAGATCCGGGAGAGTTGACAGCCCTGCCTTAATCCACTAGATGGTGACTTATCCAGTGCATAGCACTATCCAATGTTTGAACAACCGGGGCCTGATAAACATGGAGTGTGGAAAGGCGTTTGAGTTTGAGTTATCATTCACTGCAGAACCTTCAGTTGCCTTGTCTGTGTAAATCATAAGTTTAAATCATAATATCTTATTTATTTTTGCGTGCAAACAGGAAGAACAGAAATCATTCTGTATAATTTGGATAAAAGCAAAATTTTATCTTCTGCTTTGTGTTTCTGTCACTTAATTTGATTACAGTTTACACCAGAACAGAAAAGAACTCATCAGAAAATGTTATAAATTGAATAATATATTATTGTTTAATTGACCTATACATTTATACTGTTTTTAAATAGACTTCAGTAAATGGATACTGTATGTTGTTCCTATTTCTTTGCCTTTCTATTCTTTTCTTTCATCCCATTTCCTTTGAACGTATGATGAGAGTGACCATAATTTTGTTACTCAATACTGTGGGTGCCAGAGGCTTTTCATGCCCCGTTTCGGGTATAATTTTGTAGAATTCCAATGTTTTAAAGTGTTCAGCTTATGAAGACCAGGCACCATTTGTATGCAGATCTTTAGTATACTTTTTGAAAGTTTGGTCAAAGTTGCATAGATCATGCAAAAGCACTTTGAAATGTCCAAAAATGCTTATGAAGATATGATTTAAGCTACCTTTCGTAGCACAAAAAAATGTTATATTTGTGAAAATGGGATCAATAATATTATATATTTTTAAAAATAACCTTTAATTTAGGTTTTCATAGTTGGCCATAACATTTTTTGCAATCATCTGTCCTTATCGTAAAAAAATTATTTCTTCTTTATTTCCCATCTCTTTCCTTCCCATTTTGGGTCGGTTTGCGTGGCTACCAAGTAACCCGCCACGCTTCCATTTCGATCATCACTTCCAGCGGTAAAAACGGGTCGTTTATACTCAAGTTCAAGACCTCATTTGTACGGTTGAACAGTATTCATGACTTTCAACTTCCTTGATATGGTCGAGCAAAAATGTATGAGTGTCATGGATTCAAAATTACATCTTTCTTTTACCTATTCGTACATTTAAACTGAGTTATTCGGGGACATGAGGCATGAGTTCGACTACGTGGAAACCAAATCCGAACGCGAAGCCTTTCACACCGGCATCGGCGTTTTTTAGCGTTCCAGTTCCATGCAAGAAGACTCCTATTCGCATACGAAAGAAAGGGATATTTAGTAGAATCATTCAATGGATTTTAGTTGTGGTTCTTTGCGTGACAGTGATCATTAATTTGATATTTATTTGGGATACTACGAGGAAATATAGAACTGAGAAAAATTCTGTCCAAACAGCTCCGGGGAAAATAAATGAGTTGAACCTCAGAGAAAATCCAGGTAAGCAATGTGTTATCTTTTTAAAACGATCGCTTTTATCCTTTAAAATCTCTGCTCTTTTAAGTTTTCGTCGAGACAGTGGCTTGGATGGCAATTTTTACATTTTTAAAAATGTAAACAATGGTATTTTCTTATTTTTAGTTGTGATGTTAATGAGAGAGTAACACACCTTTATTTCGAACTTTGGCCATTTTTTCGAGAATCAGTATTGTGACAGATAATTACATAATTGATATGAGAAATAAAATTGAGAGAAGTAGTTAAATTGTGATAAGACAATGTCGATTTGATATGTTTAAGTAGTAGATTTTTTTTAGGGGGGAGGGGGTATGGGTGATTTGGTTTGGGTAAGAAATTTTTTCCCAAAACCTCTGGAGGAAGAATTTTTTTCCCCGACACATAACAGTAAAAGATTTTTTTTCCAGTATTTTACAGTAAGAGATATTTCTTTTCAAGGTTTTTTTATTTATCCCCTTGAAATCAGTCTGCAATCTATTTTTTCTGAAATCACCCATACCCACCTTAAAAGTCAAATGGTTGACCCCTATGCTGAAATGATCAGTAAAACATCTGGGTTGTTAATGTTGTGTTTTTTTTGGGGGGGGGAGAGCAGTGCAGAGTGGGGGGAATGGACTACTTGAGGGTTTTCCTTAATACATACATTATAAGCTAACATTCAACAAGTTGAAGGCAAATTATATCAGATATTACAATATTATGTACTGCTATGTTTGTATTTATTATTAATCAGATATCATGATATTATATACGATGTAAAGTGCTTAGGACAGTGATGTAGAAGTGCGATAAAAATAATAAATTATTATTATCATTATTGGATATTACAGCTGAGACAGGGCTTCACCCCTCATCAGCTACATATACAGTATTTGCCGATGAATATTTTTAGCATTCTAACCCATTATTGGGATGTTGTGTGGACAGACTTTTGCGTTTTAGCCCAAAAAGTTCCATAATGATCACATAAATCTGTCCAGAATCTGGTGTGGACATTTAATTCATCAACATAGTTATATATTATACTCTTTTTATTGCCAGAGTAAAATGTACAAGGTGTTGAAATTATGTTACAAGAAACACTCATTTCCTAGAAATATTTTTGCTTTGCACAAAAATTGACAAACAAAAAGTTTAACAAATGACCACCAGATTATTATATAAACACTGATTTATGTCACCACCATGGATTTTTTTAGGCCAAAATTCAGACTTCCCTCGCAAAATGTTTCACTATGGAGAGAGATACAGGCGGCTGTTTCTAACTGTTTATAAAAATCTCAAGTGTGCCTTCTTCTTGTTTTAAGAAAAAACCTGCTTGCACAATATTCTGTGCAAGTATACACTGCAATTCTGGGTGCTCGTGGCCAAACCTAAAGACCAGTCATTTCTTTATCCACGGTTAATACCTCTGAAATTTTTTGTCTTTGTCAGGTCCTCAAGTTGAGGGTCGTAGAATTACCATTGAAGTTCAATCAAGTAAGGATGTTGCCTCGGTCACAGTCGATGGAACAAAGGTATGTAGGGTGTATATGAATAATTCTTCCCTAATATACTTATGATAATCAAATCTTGCATACTCTGTTTGCTGCCCCTTTAATCTTAAAGTCGCTGGGATCAAAAGTCAGGTCTCTTTGTCGTGTTAATTCTAGAAAGATTGCTTTAACCCTTTAAGTCTCAATGGTGACCAACATCAATTTTCTCCTAACAATATCCATACATTGTCAAGAGATTAGGTTATGAGAATTAATAAAATGATCACTGGAGAGAAAATGCCTTGATCTTCTATCAAATTCTCTCTACTCATTCTGTTTGGAAATGTACACAGATCAGTTTGGAGAATTTGTATGTGGATATTGGGTCTTAAAGGGTTAATAATGTTACCCACATGTCAATAATAAGCACAAGGCTTTACTCTAGCAGCGCCCAGTTGCCCCTGGTGCCTAAATTTTTTTCTCCCATCCAATAATTAGAAAATCCATGTTTCTCAAATAAATAATTTGCTGGGTGCCCTGGATTTTGCAGGTTCAGAGCACTGAGGTCCCTTCGATTTTTCTTAGCCATGAATTAGCTCTTTTACTGCACACATAATCGTCATCTTCCTATCTTCATTACCATTTAATTTACACTGCTTGTTAAAATTATCTTAATTTCTGTTTTAAGGTGTTGGAAGGCACAGATGAGCAAGCGAGGGGTGTGAATGTCGCAGTACTCAATCAAATGACAGGTGCTGTTATGGCAACAAGAGCATTTGACACCTTTGCTAGCAAAGAGGATTCTGATGCTTTAGTCTTATTTATCAATATGGTTTCTGATGGAAGAATTTTATGTTTTGCAATACGAGTGAGTTCTTTGTATTCATCATACAACCCCAGGGTGCTGGTCGCTTATTACCTGTGAGGGGGGCAGCCATTTGGCTATTTAGGGTGCACCATAGCCTCCCTGCAGACGTCCTTTGGGGTTCGTTCGTCACGCATTCATTTCTCCCCCACAAAAAAAATGAAAGCATGACGAACGAACCCCAAAGGACGTATGTGGGAAGGCTAGGTGCACCTAAACCTCTGTCCGATTGTCCGGGACAGGTAGAAATTTAGTTCGGATATGCGAACCTTTGACATGACTTGTCCGTGGGACAAGCACATTTTTAATTAGAAAAAATAAAGAAACAGTTGAAAAGTGACTTCAAATTACAGTAGAATTTTTTTAACTTTGCTATACTGGGGCCATTTCATTTGTTTTTGTGAGCTCCACTTGGCTTAGGAACCCGGCAAAACTTTTTGGTCAAGAACTCTTGGATTTTGGACAACCAAATTTAATATAGTGCTTGCCAAGGGATAAGTGAATAGGAAAATTTTTTTCTTACTATGTAGGGGGTTATTTTCAAATTCTTGATTGGGGTCATTGTCAGATATGAAAGCGTTAGCCGGGGGGGAAGGTCATTTTAATAAATTTTAAGGAAAGTAGGACCACCAAGTAGTACAAGGCAGTAATGAAGGTGAATTAAAATTGAATGTAACAGCCATAAATAGTAAATGCTGATCATTGTTACATGTATGAACACAACTTTAGATAAAGTATGTAGTGAACTAAGGCACGATTTGTAGTTAGAGTATTTGTAGTTTCCAGAGCAATGGGATGGGTGGGAAGGGGGGGCGGTGGGATATGCAAAATTTAGGGGGGTCATTTCCAAAAAGTTTGGTTGAAGTGAGGGTCAGTATGAAAATCTTCTAAGCTTTCTCAAAATGGCCACCTTCCTCTCCCCCCCCCCCCAACAGGTAATAAATGACCAGCCCCTAACAGCATTTGTATTATAGTACAGCCAACTTTGTCTTAATATTTTCTGGAACCGTACATTGTTTTGTTTAGGATGAAGGAACCTACCAGCTAAAGAAGACAGCACGAAATCTTATGAGCACACTTGGTAGTGAAAACTTTAAGAACATCAACTTTAGAGATACATGGGCCTTTGTGGTGCAGAAACGAGGGCCTGTTAGTGCAGAGGGCCACCGAAAGGCACCCAATTTTGACTCTTGGGGAGAGCCCCTAACTATCCAGGCCCTAGTGACATTACAATCAGAGGACACTGGGTCTTGTTCGTGGGAGGAAAGTGATGCAACAAGAAGAAGGAAGGAGTTTTGTGAGAAGTTTGAAGGCTATGGGAGTGTATGCAGTTGTAAGTCAGTTTGTTGATTGCTAATTAGAGAGGGGAGGGGGGAGGGGAAAGTATAGTGATAGGGTATGGGGAGTACACTGAAAACTTTTTGTACAGTTTGGGGCTTGCTTGTTAAGGATTTTCTTGGCTCACAGTATTTTTCCACGAGTCCTGAGATGGTAAAATTGGATTTGGCCAGCTAGTAAGAATTTGTCATGGCAGTAGGAACCACCAATCACTGGACCCTTGTTGTTTAGAGCGGTTTTCACTTGACTGTCGTAAAACCAAAACCAAAGTAAATACACTAGCCAACCAAAGGGCGTAGTAAAACCAAAACCAAAACCAAAACCAATCCCTTTCGACAGTCAAGTGAAAACCGCTCTAACGTTAGTAAGAACAGGCACATGTTCGTCTTTCATTTCCTGAAGAGTAAAAGAAAAGCAAAAATGAAGGGTTCCTTCTCAGTTCTAACAAATACATGTACATGTAAGGATCAATTCAAAAGTCAACATCTGCTTACTTACCCTTCTTGTGGTTCATAATAAAATTACAAGGGGGGAGCATCGCAGCAACGGCATAGGTGCTGGCTCTTCCAGAACTCGCACAAGTGAGCCTGTTTGCAGGCTAAACAATAATTGCACAAATTTCTTATAGTTACAAAGCTATCAAAAAGCACTGTGTTATCACGAAGTTGAAATAGGTAAATAGGTAAATAGGTTGTAGGTTGTGACCTTCCCTTGTCTTTTTACCCGCCCGCAAATTATACTTGGTTATATTTGCAAAGTTTTATATTTGAATCACGAAGTGCAGCCTCCCTGTGAGCAAGCTTTTCAGTTATGGATAGCGAAGGAAACTGGAAGACATACATGGTGCCCGGCCCTCTCCCTGCCCCTCGCACTGTCGTCTCCTTTCATGTGCGGTTCTTGTTTGACTTGTCGAGACTCCTCCAAATGAAGAACTTGCTCACAGGCTACACCGAGTGGAAAGTCAGTGAAAAAAATTCTTGGTTTGCAACAACGTGACAAGGTAGCCACCTTGGAAGTCAATACAAAGGAATTTTTTCTTGAAGAAGTTACATGAAAGAAGACTAGTTCCCAAAGGAGAGAAATGTTTTGTTCTTGATCACCAAATATATGGCCGCCTTGACATCATGTGCAAACCAGCAATATTTTGCCACTTGAATTGTATTTCAGGTTCAAACCCAGCACCATTGGATATCAAAACAGACCCCTTGCCAAATGGTGAAAAAATCACACTCCCAGTGGCCATTATTGCCAGCAACAGGCCGAACTATTTGTATCGTATGCTTCGCTCTGTTCTGGCTGCACAGGGCGCAGATCCAAGTAAAATAACCGTGTTTATTGATGGATATTTTGAAGAGCCTTTGGCTGTTGCTCGATTGTTTGGCATCAGGGGAATTCAACACACGCCTATTAGTAGCAAGAATGCCAGAATCTCACAGGTGAGATCTGTTTACATGTAATTCTTCACATCATTCGAAAGCCGAATTCAATACTGTTTTATTATTCATTCAAAGTATTTTTAAGCTCTTGAAAAGCTTGCTTTTGCGTAGACTTTTCTCAAAACTTTGACCTATTTCTCTACATGGTTTCAGGATATAATCAGATGTGTTTCCTGGCAGATACTCCTCAAAAAATCGATAGCATCCATCGAGCGATATGTTTTGCGTATTCTTGCATTTCTTTCGTTGGTCAGAAATTCGGCTATTTCGACTTCGGATAGCCGCGAACGGCAGTTTCTTTTTTAGTTCACTCAGGAATTAACAGCTAGGTTGCCGCCGAGGTTGAACGATGGTATATCTTAATTTATACCATCGAATCGATTGTATATTATTGCTCGCATCTTCCAAATATGGTACGCGTCAGTTGGTTATGAAGATTTAGCCGAGGGATTGGAGCCAATCAGAAACGGCGAAATATTTTGAATGAATAATAAAACTGAGGTATTTGAAAGGGAAGGAAAGGGGATTTCGGAACCCACCCTTCTGTCTCACGTGCGCTCGAGCGTACAGTACAGGTTCTGGAAGGGTATTTTCGGGATCCGCTATTTGACCCGAAATATGGTGCGGGTTTCGGGAAAACGGAAAATTTATTTACGGGATACGGTATTTGACTGCGGGATTCGCCAAAATCTTGGCACGGGATGCGGTATTCTTTTAGTGAAAAAGTTGTGGGAATGCGGGATTAGGATAGTACCCTCCCGCGCAACGTTCCTTGATAGTCGGTCTTGGAGCTACTTAAGTTTGTCTGAGTGGAAGGTTAATCCCAAAGCAATCTCGTCGTTTAGGAAGTGAATTCACAACTAGAGAGAGCTTTAGATTCTGAGACGAGGACGACTATGAGTAGGATATTTTCTCAATTCTAAGTGGTGCTCACGCGGGAACCAGCGTCATTTTGGCGGGAAAACTGGACAGCCGTCGTCAATCTAATACGAGTTTTAGCGAGAAATGTCGTAGGTTGCGGGAGCAAGTTATCAAATGTAAGAAGTTTTATCATTTTGCAATCGGAAGAGGGCTTAACATCCTGCAATAAAGATAACAGTGCTAACTTTTGCCGTGAATCAAAAGTTCAATGAAGCTTTCTGGAGAGTATATTTTTTGAGAGTACGCGATAACAATTTCAGTCAAATCTCGTACTCGTAGAATTCTTGTTCTCGAATCTAAAGCACTCTATGACTCTTGCAAGAAAGTGAAGTTTGTTCGCGCTGTTTTACACGAGAAATAGCTTTGCCGTGAATCAAAAGTTCAATGACGCTTTCTGGCGAGTATATTTTTTGCGAGTATGCGATAACAATTTCAATCAAATCTCGTACTCGTAGAATTCTTGTTCTCGAATCTGAAGCGCTCTATGACTCTTGCAAGAAAGTGAAGTTTGTTCGCGCTGTTTTACACGGGAAATAGAATTAATCAGCTGAGCAAGAGAGATTTTGATGTTATTTTGTAACTCTTCAACAGCATTACAAGGCGAGCTTAACTACAACATTCAACCTGTATCCAGATGCAAAATTCATGATCATATTGGAGGAAGATCTGGATGTTTCTCCAGATATATTCTGGTATTTCTACCAGTTATTGCCAGTTCTTGAAGAGGATCAAAGTCTATATTGTGTCTCAGCATGGAATGACCAGGTGAGTTATAGATTATTTTAAGGGGGATATGTCACGATGATTGCTGTCAATTTACGTCAAATCTGCACTGAAGTCAGCGCGAAGTTCAGATGGTGGGGAGCGAGTTAAATCATACGCGCGGAAAACGAGAGGCTTTCCCCGTCAATTCTTCGCCCGCGCTCTACTAACAGAACGCCTGGAACTGGCTAATTTTAGTCAGTTTGGTTAGTGAATGAAAACTGTTTCTCATTTTCGGGATTTTTTCATCATGTTATCTATACAGCCTAGCTTTCGAATACAGCCCTGCTACCGCTAAGGAGCGAGTAGCTGAGGAAGGACGGCTGTATTCACAGGCCATATAAAGAGTTTCCCATCAAAAATATAACATGCTCTTTCTTTAGGGTTATGAACACACAGTCGGTGACCCGGCCATGTTGTATCGAATAGAAACCATGCCTGGACTTGGTTGGTGAGTTTGTTTATTTAATTCTTTTCATATTAGCTGGCAAATGTCTGATGTGTCGTCTCTCTCACTTGTCTTTCACACAGTCAGTCAAAGCGTCGACGTAACGGAGGTTTAATTTATTTGGTTTCAAAAGTGAAGTCTCTTTAAGTAGAGTTGTCACAAGTCGGTTTCGCGAGTTTCACCACAGAAAAAGCCATAAAGTGAGCAGAGCGAGGTTTTCTGCCCGCGTAGTGGCCTAGCGAGCGGTAAAGTAGGACGAAGGACGTTTTCGAAAGTCTTGCTTTTGAAGAAACGTTTAAGGATAAATGAGACCGTTTAATGTTTGCGCTCCTACAAGCGCTCAGTGCATCTAGATCAGTAGCTCGACAACTCAACCCTACTCTTCCTGCAAGAACAGAGTCTTGAAGGCGCGTCTAAGAATGGGTACATGGGAGCATATACACCAGTATAGCGACCGTATCTTCCTAACCATCGGAACGAGTGGGAAAGTTTAAGTATAGGGCAAAAAGTAATGAGACCCTGTTCCAACCAACAGCGTATACTGTAGTTATGACCTTTACTTTGCGCGAATCTATGTATGATCGTAACTTTCAATTGCCCTATTACTAGTAACTCCGTCAAACAACATGTGACAACGGATGCGTGCACGAAACGTCGTCCTATACTCAGCTGACAGAACCACATTTTCAGGGCTCTCGCGACGTCCAGACCTGGCTTATAGGCAAAACTATCATCCTGTCCCGCTTAAAATAATTTAAATGTGCTGCAATGCGTACGCATTGCGTACCTTTTTTCTGAAGGATCCTTAAACGAAAGATGTACAAAGAGGAGCTGGAACCAAAATGGCCGACCCCGGACAAGTTCTGGGACTGGGATATGTGGATGCGGCTTCCGGAAAACAGACTAGACAGGGAGTGTATAATACCCGATATCTCCCGGACGTATCACTTCGGGTCGAAAGGACTTAATATGCATCCATATTTCCAAGAAGTGTATTTCAAGAAGCATGCGCTCAACACAGAGCTCAACGTTCGTTTTGACGTGGAAAAAGTCAAGAAGGATAACTATGAGAAAGAAATTGAGCGTCTGTTGAGGTATTTATAACGTTGAAGATATTTCTCTCTCTGATTTTTCTTACTGATATAAGGGAGTTTAGGATGCCAGAACGGCGACAGCAACAAGAACGTCGAATAATGCATTGGGTTGAACAAGCAAAACAACAACTCTGCACGTGCAGCACAATTTCTTAGGACATTTCTTTGCCGTCACAGCACCGCTACGACGTGAAAACGCCTGATTTCACGTTTTATGGAGGACCTCAACTAGTAACAGAGTTTTGAAGGAGCTTAAAATAGTGATAGTCTGTCCCCTTAGAATTTTTAACTGAAATACGTTGATGACGTAGAAACAGCAGTCGCCTTCCCAGGATTCTTTTCTTCTCGTCCTTGAAATGTGGGAAAGAGAGAACCCTGGGAGCGATGTTGTAGAAACAGCTGTTGATAGGCCATTTCCGAGTTCCCTTAGGAGGACAAAGAAAGCTCCTCCACTGTCTTCATTTCTTTATGTCAATTTTTATTTTTCATGCTTAATTCCTCTTTTGTGTTGTTTGCAGCTCCTCGAAAACTTTAGACCATTCCAAAAATCTCTGTGATAACGAGGACTTTGTTCCTGGCGAAAAGGGACAAAACTTTGTATTTTACATCAAAATGGAGCATCCAACAGACTGGGTTACGTGGAAGGCAATTGCTAAATGTCTTAAGATTTGGGATTTAGATGTACGAGGATTTCACAAGAGTATGTGGCGGCTTTGGATCAAAGGAAGTCATGTTCTCATTGTGGGTTGCCCAGCTTCTCCATATTGTAATCATAAACCCGCCGAAGTGACACCTATTTTTATCCCAAAGAAGGAAAATGAGCAGTCATGAAGCGATTTTAGTAACAACGTTGTTAAAAAAATATTCTTATGTTTTTCTTATTTAATTCCCATTATTATCACTACTGGCAGCCAAATGACAAACTGTACTCAGTAAAACGCTCCTTTTCGCGGGCCAAACGGCAAAGTACAGTGAAATTTGCAGCCCGCAACATGTTAAACAATCTTTCCTAATGAAATAAATTTGTACGATTTGGCCTCGTGTATTGATAATGATGATAATCACGTGACTTTTGTCGGGCATATAGTTTATTTGTGTCCCTTATAGCATCATTTGAACTCTCGCTCCGCTCGGGTGCAAATGATGCTACTTCGGGGCCACAAATAAACTATGGGCCCTCCAAAAGTCATGTGATTTTCCTATGAGTAGCTCTTACCTTTCTTGGCGAATATCTTCTTTGCAGCTCGGGGTCACTTCGCCTATCTCATACCAAAATTATAGGATACATCTCTAAAAATACCAAATATTGAAATAGTATAAAACAATTAGTGGGTCTGTCATTTTGTAGCTTTTAAACTCTTAACATTGCCATTTTATGGTGGTTTGAATAACGGAGAAAATACCGTGTGTCAATGGAACGCAAGCCTTGCGGTCCTCCATTTTTTTTTTTCATACAAACCCTTATAAATCATATTGTTTTGTGTCAGTCACCTCAAAAGTTGCTTTCTAGCTATTCTTCTAATGGTCTGTCCATCTCTGGTATTGTTTATGGTCAAGAGATTGATAGGCTCCTGTTGAGTTGTATCCCATAATTTCTGCATCAAGGTCACGTGATTGTGAGCTACAAAGGGCCTTGTACTTTTTATTACCCCATACAGCTGTTTCGAGGAAGGTTGTCGAAAAAAGTGAACGCGACAATCCCGAAAGGTATTGTGGGTGATTTTGAGTTCACTGTTCTTCAAAGAAATTTGAAAAAATGGTACGAGAGGCCATGGACTTATGTTTGAAAGTGCCAAAGGAAAGCAACAAAACTAAGTTCGACAGCTACAGTTTCAGGAACAGTGTATTGATCATATCCCATATTACCTTTCGGGATTGTCGCGTACACATTTTTCTCTGACAACCTTTCTCGAAATAGCTGTATACTCTGAATTTCGCATCGCAAATCGCGCGCTCATGCAATAAAAATGCGGGAAAAAAAAGAGGACCGGTAGCAGTCTAGTTTGTTAATGGCAACGAGTTTATTGTTTTCTTATGCTTGGTACTAGAAGCAATTATCTTAAAAATTCTTCGTCGGAGCTGAAATATTTTCGGGGGTTACAGTAACGTTCGGCAGCTTGCTTTGTGTGGAAAGAGTGAGCGCATTTGACAGATTCAACCAGATTTTGATCCATATTGGCTTGCGAATAAAACCGCTCGCTCATTGCTCGCCGCCGCGAGGGACGTTTTGTGAGCGTTGAGTGGCGGCTTTGTTTCGTTCACTGGGTATATCCCTATAACCCTTTAAAGGGGCTATGTCAGCTGGAGAGCATGCGCTCTGAGGTTATGCAAATTACTTTCAGCTGTCAAAATTCTATTGTTTTTAACGCGTGACTTTCTCCATGTGCGCTGTGAGGTTATGCAAATTACTTTCAACTGTCAAAATTCTATTGTTTTTAACGCGTGACTTTCTTCATGTTCTCTGTCACGTCCAAGGTTCCGAATTTAGAGAGGTTTAGCGAAATGGGTTTAGATAAGGGATATTTCGATAGAATTTATGGAACGTTTCTTCTCTGGTTATGCTAGATCAAGAATAAAATTGCGACGACAATTTTACTTGTAGTTTTGAAGTAAAAACGCATGCCATTCATAAAATAGAGCGCAAACAAAAATTCAACAACAACATATTGTCTTATTCAACAAAATAAATGGAAGTTGTATTTTACAAACGAGCTACAAAAGACGCTAGACCGAAGATAAAGACCAAGACTGTTTCAAATCATTAACAATTAGACTTGTCTGTCGCTATTGATTTTATAATTTAGATGCTGATAGAACAAGAGACCAAGTCTTTGTTTTGATCTTAGGGAAACATACATTATCGCGCAAAATTGTTCGATCGTGCCGAATCACTGCGACGTCGAGAAAAACAGAACCCAGCATCATTGGTATACTACTCCACTATAAGCAGTCCGTTGATAAAAAGGGAAAGCAAACTCTGCTATTTTCCAAAATTATGCTCCAACACAAACAGTTAAAAAACATGGCATTTACAGGATCTAACTCGCACTAAGGTGCCTCTCTAAGTCCGTTGAGAACAATCTGGACGAGCAAACGGTCGTGTTTATCTTTGCCGTGAATCGAGATAAATACAAGAAGGAATCTAGCCGAATTTTAGAATGTTTCCTTCGCCAGGAGTTTAGTTTCGTCACGAAACTCATGGCCTGATGCTCTTGTAATCGTTTACAAAAAACGGCCGCCGCCAACTCGATAGCCGCTTCATTATATGTCCACATACTTTGAGCACAAGAAAAATCCAAGAGCCAGCAGCCTCTTAGCCTGTGAACAGGCCTTTGGTCGAGCGGGGAATTAGGGAGAGGGAAAAGCCCCAGACAGAGAGCCTGTTCACAGGCTAGCAGCCTCTAAAATAACTCAATAGAAAGGTCCTGTGAACTATAGGGAAGATTCCATCAAAGATTCCATCACTCATTGTGGAGTAGCCGTCATTAACTCTGCCATTACAACGGCCGCTGATAAGAGGACACAGTAAATCCACGTAAAAACATTCCACAGGCAAACAATTTTAAAATAACGCCAAAAAATTGTTCTGTAATCACCATAGAATGATTCTTAATACAAAACTTCGCTAACTATCGAACGATGGCTGAGATTTAGACAGATAAAAACAGCCTTCCAAAATCTCCGACACAACTTGAAAAAGTTGGGCTGTCTTTTTCAAGTTTGTTTTCATTGGCTCGCGCATGCGTGTTGGGTGACATAGCCCCTTTAAGCCCCAGTATCCACATAGAAATTCTCCAAACTGATCTCCATACATTTCCTTTAAGAATTAATTGAGAGAATTTAATAAAACATCGAGGCATTTTCTCTTTCGTGATCATTTTTTATATTCTCACAACCTTATCTCTTGACATTGTATGGACATTGTTAGGAGAAAATTGCTGTTGGTCACTATTGGGACTTAAAGGGACAAAGGTGTAAAAACTGTAGGCTGGAAATGTAGACTTATTTACGGCCGTCGCTTTTGTACTCAGTTGGGAGCTTAAGCAACGCGACGGCAGCGAAAACGTCGCTTTTGTCGCGCTGTTTCAAACTTCATGGCTCTTATTCCATTTCATTTCATTTGGGAAATGTTGGTGAAATGTTTCTGGAGTTGATTCTGAAGGACTGTATCTTGGTTCTGAAAAATGACAAAGAAAATTGTTTTCATGTGCTCACGTGCTTCATAAAACGTTCGCAGTCGCGCAGTGACGGCAAGAAATGTACAGAAAGCATGATTCACGTGCAGAGTTGTTGTTTTGCCAATCTAAACCTATTGCCTTTTTAGTGTACCCGTTGCTGCCGCCGTCGAGGCGTTCCTTAAGCTCCCAGGTAGCGAAAACAGAAGCGAACATTGGAAACACGCCTGCTAGACTACGACTTGTTTTATAAAGTTTTTTTACACAATTAGTCTGCAATTGCTAATATAAATATAGAAAATGTTTTATTAATCTATGGATCTAATAAAAAAAGGAAACAGTTTGAACTGAGTATATATTGTGAAATATTTATTACTGAAAACTGAAAAAAAATGAGACGTCACCGCAGGTTTCTTTCTGGCACGGTTTTTGTGGTTGATTAGTTTACTCGCGCCTCCGACTTATTTGGAGCCGTCCACATGTGTGGCTTTATTTTTCACATTGCTTTCAAGAAACCTAAATTTCACTTAGTCAAAATATAGGGCAAATAAACACAACCTTGTAACTGCATGCTGCGAAGTGTATATCTCGATGGTCACATTGAAGGATTTTGTTTATAATCGTGAAAGTGGAAACCTTCGAAACAGATGCTTCCGCAACATTTGACTCCGGGAATAAAGAACTTTTTTTCTTATGGTTTTTCGTCGAAGTAGCATCCACTGGTTTCTCGTAAAAGTGAGCTCATCTCTTTCCCTGTCTCGTCAGCAAACATGAGTGAAAATGCCAGGTGGAAGATAGCAGTAGCATTTATTGCTCCAGATTTAATATTTAGTACAATGTTTTGGCTTCGCTCAAACTAAAGAGGCGTGGACAAGACTAAACCCCCGGGGCGGCAATTGGAACAAACAAGGACATCTGGGGAGTTATTTTTTAATCGAGTTTCCGAGAAACACGTCAGCCCGCGCCGCTTGTTTCTAGGAAATACCTCATGACGAGGCAAAAACACAGTGGAGTGGGAGAGTAGGGGTAAAGTATATGAAACTGCGCAAGACTTTCGCTTGAGAATTTTTTTTCTTTACTGAGTATCGGAGCGCTAATGGCTAACCGAATCCATGGCTCAAATCACTGAGGGTACAAGGGCTGCCTTGATTTGAAGGTTGACACGTTAAGCTCTCCAAAGAAAGGTCACATAACCATTTGATTTCACTGTATTGATCGACATTACGAAGAAGACCTGCAGGTCAAGAATATATTTCTTTGGCAATGGACGAACGTTCCGCTAAAATACGCAAATTCGTGGTAGACGGGACTCTTCATTTTTATACGCAAGTAAAAAGTTCCAAAAGTTTTTGTTTTATTTTTGGTATTTTTTTTTAAATTTGAGCATGAATTAGCACACGGAATGAATGGCGACGAGAATTTTTCAGGAATATTAATAACATTTTAAATGATGGCTTCATCACTTAGACAGATTTGAATCAATAAAACTTCTTCAAAATTGTGAATTGGTGTTGATATCAAAGGGAAAGCTGAAGTAGATTCTTTTAATGTTCGGTTTTGATGATGCAGTGGGGTATTGTGGTGGCCATGCGTGCTTTCTGAAGGAAAGGTTCTCGAAAATTGGAGATTTCTTCTTGTTTTTCAGGGAATGTTGATTTGGGTAATAGGTCAACTAGGATTTTGGGAAAAGGAGAAAGGAGATATCGAGTTAGGAAGATAAAATTTCTTTCCCTGAATATTCCGAAATTTTCTTTCGCTGGGATATTCAGTTAATGTGCAAAGACTGAAAGAGTACAGGAAACACATTGGAACGCCATAGCAACTTCACAGCAAATCAAATAGTGCATGTCTTGTTTATTGTACGTGTTTTATTTTACATATCTTGTCGAGTTATAACGAATTGTCTTTTTGTTTAGTTGTTCAGAACGAAACCAGAGAACAAATTTCTTGGAAACCCTATTATTCAACGTCATTTGTCCGAAATTGCAACCACGGAAGTTCAAAGTGATAGTAACAAAAAGAAATTTTCACTTTTCAGTAGAAACACAAAGAACTCAAACAAGAGCTTAGAATTCGACTTTTTACATAATTTAGTTTACATTCTTTTGTAAAAGTTGTTAGATATAGTATTTACATAGTATGAACACTCATTTCACTGAAAAATAAAGATGTAACGGCGAGTTTTGTAATGAGTTGTATTTATGTACATACTCTCAACATTTCCCAGAGTTAAATTCATCCACGAACGAAAACGAATAATGGGTCAATGATGCATTTACATAGGGTAGGGATATTGTGATAAATATGACTTCACCGGGTGAGGAATCGACGTTTGTTTTACATCAGTTCCACCAGTGGCGAGAATTTGACGATTTAAAGCCCTACGACAGAGATGTTGCAAACTAGAAACTTCCTTATATAATGGTCTCCATAGGATAAATAGCGGAGTTCCTCTGTTGCCCAAAGTTTTGGTTACTTTCTCCTTAGCCTGTAAAATCCCTGTTGAGACCAACATATAGTAAAATACCATCTTGACAACACAGTCAAATTTTGGTGGAGAATAATTCTTGACTTCTTCGTTTCTCGGTTCCATAAATGTATCATTTCTGTCCAAAGAAAAGAAGCCCTCAGTGAAATTTATCCGGACGTTTGTTATTCCGGTGGCTGTGACTAGTGTTATAGTGAAAAGATGCCTTGAGTCCGAACTGTCGCGAACCAGAAATTGTCCGACGGGTTTCTCGCGTAATAAAGATTTTGCTTTGACTGCAGATATTGCTCCCCAGTAAAATCCGCTCTCCTCCAATTTTTTAATCACTGGATCCAGGGAAACTGTTTTAATTCCAGCGCTCATCGAATCTTTGACTACGAAACTGTCTCTCAAACGTCTGTACTCAAAGCCGTGGCGAAATCGCTTTGAGTCAAGTTTGGTCTTTCTGGAGAGACATTGCTCCTGTCACTAATTCCTTGAATCTACCTGCGTGGTTTCTCTAAAACTGCTTGCTCCTTTGTGATCAGAAACTCATTTGACTGTGTTTTTATCTTTTTAGAGAGTTTCCGGGAAATATTTCACATACCCCGGCTGTGCTGTCATTTCCTAGAATTCCGGAAGTTGGTCTTAAAAATGATGAAAATTTTCTTGGAAAAAATAGACAAGAAAATTAAGTTTTAGCAATCATTAGAAGCAAGATGGCCCATAAATTTATTAGAGGGTTAGCTGTTAGAAAAAAAGACAAGGCGGACATTTTAATTACGCTCTATTCAGCGACGTGTAGTGGATCACGGAACTTGCTTATATACCGTTACATGCCGCGGGGCTTTCTGCTACGTAGACCGGAAGATGGAAACGAATCTATTCTCCATTGGTCTCGAACGGTCGTTCGAAATTATTCTATTTCCTCATTTTTGTAAATCTAGAATTAGTTAACCTTTTTTTTTTTTTAGAGACTAATGATGAATTACAGCCGAGAGAGCACTATTAGTATTACGTGCTACTTGTTTTGCCAATGAAATACTGTAATCAACTTGAGATTTCATAATTTCTCTACTTGCGTTCGCTGTTTCCTTATATTTCTTAAACTGGGAAGAATTTTACTTGCTGCTCTTGCTTAACAAAAGAAGTTTTCAAAAGATGGAAGCGCATGTTTCTCTGTATTCGGTTTTTAACGGAAATTGTGAAATCACCGTTTGTGATGCTCACTTCTGACATCCCTTGAAGCAAGCTGAACACCCACGAAATGACGTTTTTGCCTTGAAACACTTTTTGAGAAGCACGTACGCATAATTTAAGGTCAAAGTATGTTTCAAATCGTTAAGGAACCAAAATTCTCTGTTTCCAACTAAAGTGAATGTCATAAAATGAAGCGATAGACGTTCAATCTTGCGTGTAATAGAAAACATTATGAATATTCATAACAAAGGTTTTTCCGAGAATCCGAGTTAAGTATATTTTACTAAAGGGATTATAACTTTCCGAGAAACTCAGCTATTTATTTCAAAACAGTTTACTTATTGGTAAGGGGTAGAGAAAATTCCAGACTCAGATTACAGCCTCCCTGAAGAATTTGAGTGATTCAGTAACTGACTTTTTGGAAAGGAAAAGAGGGTTGGTGAGTCAGAGAATAGCCTACGGCGATATGAGTACCTAGAACAATGACACGGGCGTAGCGATGAAAATTCTAACTGTCAATGAAATGAAATAAATCCATTTTGGCTTTTTTATTTGTGAGTTAAAGTGAAATTGCTGCCGAAGAGAATTCATTTGAATCGTCACACCAACGGATAATTAAAACTGAGTTAGAACGACGTTTAATATATATTTATTGAAAATAATAATACTTCATAGAAATTAAGGCAAATCCTGATGCTACGCGTACAAATCCCAAATAATCAACTACAGAATATTCGAACAACAGACTGTTTCAATATTTTAAAGCTAAAAGGATTCTTTACTGACGGATCCGAACTTTAATTCCGCTCTTTTGCTGAATTTGAAAAGATACACGGCAGAACTCTGCATTGCTCTTGATGCCCTGTTTTTGTCATGTGCACAGCCGTACGCCACCACGATCTTCCAAGAATTCTCTGTTGGAACCCCCACAGTACACTCTGTTTGCACCCCCCCCAAGTTTGGATATTCAATTGTTTAAAAAAGCCCCAAGTTGAAGGGCATATTCCCAAGAGCATTTAAAGACAATAACATATGCAAAAATTGGTATAGTCAACGCCAGCACTATCTTGTATTGTAAACAAAGAAAGTCTTACTTACTGTCAATGTGATTGTGCTTCTCGCAAAAGAATGAAACCAGGTGGCTATTTTCACAAATAAATAGAGTGTCCAGGTGGGCAGCTGCACAGGTGGGTAGGTGGGTGTGGGTGTACAGGTGGATGCGGGGTTGTTGGCCAATTGAACAGGTTCACAGCTGGACAGGGGAGGGGAGGGTGGCTACACATGTGACATTTCATATCATATGACCTACAACAATCTTCATTTGTCTATTTAGGCGGGAAAACCCCTTTACACCCTCAAGTTCGATTTCAGCGAAAATGACAGGAAAACGCAAACCTACTCACATGCAAGTTTTCTAATAAATTATTTTAAGGGTGATTAAAGCTTTTAAAATCCGTTTTTTGGTTTTCCGGTCCTGAATAAAACACGAATTCCTGACACCAAAAATGGATCTTAATTAACGAGTCCCATATAAATGTCTTTTTATGGATTTCCTGTTTTATTTAGAAAGAAAGATAATAAAATTACTTTGTCAAAAGCGTGCACCTTGAACATCTTTACAGAAGAAAAGCTGCCAATGTTTCAAGCACGTGCGTTAGCGTTTTACTTGGAATATAATACGTCCAAACTCGAAAACAAATTCCAATTACAGCCACGAAATTTTACCTCTTACTGAAACAGGAGTCTGATAAAACATGGAATTTAAGTGAGCGAAATTTATATCTTCATCCGGCGGACGTTTCTATTTCTTCTGATTATTCCTTTTATAACCAAATATTATGACATCCTGTCCTTAGAAAAGTAAGTCGGCCGAGCAAAAAGTCTCGTGTCTCACTAATATACAGTATATTGAAGAAGGCCAACGTTGTTTCTAATCAACCTAGTCTTTTCGTAGCGTTGTCGGTTAAGCATGGTTTTCTTTGAATACTGCGTTCAGTCGAATCACGTGAAAGCAAACACGGTTCCAATCCTGTAAAAATATCGTCCAAAATGGTGTTGTGCTGTCACGTGACCATACGTCACATTTTTAAGGGTATCAAACGTTATCTGGCAGGTTTGGTCAGCGGTTTTACCCTAGTTATTTTAAACGTAGAGAAGGCCTGAGAACCAGCAATGATAGCTTCTGTTTTGCAAAGAAAAGAAACAGCAAACATCTTCCTATAGCTTTCCAAATTTGTGTGCTGGGAAAGCCGAAGAGCATTACTAAAGAGAGCATCGAAAGAAAGGAAGAAAGGCTTAAACATTTAAGCCCTAAGAGTGATAAGCATCAAATTTCTCCTTGTAATATCAATTCTTTGTAAAACAGAGTGGTCATGAGAGTTACGGACGTGATCACACAAGATGGATTTGCGTGATATTTTATCAACTTCTCCCCACTACTTCTGTAGGAAAAGAATAGGGGCAACAAATGAGAATTCAGATTTTGATCTTAGGGTTTAAAGGCTTAACTTATCCGCAATTTGATTACTGTAAGAGCCATATTATGGCTCTTGATTACTGGGATCAATTATCCGAGGTGCTCAAAGAAAATCACGTTTTCCCTCGAGTATCTTGTCTTTAAGTATTTTAAGAACACTTGATCTGCACTTTGACGTAGTGGCGAGAGTATCGTTTACGTATCGCAGGGGCACCCAACGAGGATATAGTTCAAAACCACTTAACATAGCATTGTTGAACGTATTTTAGTATTTAAAGGGTAGATATAGGCATATTTTTATCCCCTAAGAACTTTTCATCAGTTCGGATTTCCTAGCTGAAAGTCTAGTGATCCGAAAATTATAGGGATCAAAACTTTCCTTTTCGAAAATTTCAGCCGGGAAAAGGCTCCCGAAAATTCTAGGTGGCCTTTTTTAGGGTAAATATCCGTTTAAACTGGGTAATTATACTATTTTGTAGATGTTCGAAAATCCTAGGAGAGGCAGACAAGCAAGAAATTTTACAACAAATGTTCCGAAAATTCTAGATCTCAAATCGTCCTCCGAACAGATATTTTCCCGAAAATTGCCGTTGGGTGCCCCTGGTATCGTAAGTGTCTTGAGTTTTAGTATCTTCATCTCCACCTCAGCCTGCGTCGTTTACACTTGCATGAAATCAACTGCTGACACCAAGAGCCATCATAACTTTAAAATGGCATCAATAGCACAGTATCGTCTGAAAAAAGGATGGCTCTTGCTGAAACCAAATTATTTCCAAAAAACACTTACAAAAGCTACATCGGAGCGACTGGTCAGCAAAGAAATAGACAGCAAGTAAGGAAATCATCTTTAATTCATTATAAGATAATGATTGATATCAAATTGTGCAATTTTTCACTTAAACATCCTCCCCAGGATCACAACCTAGCTCCCAGGGCTTTCTCCTTGGAGGGAACCCTGGGAACGAGGCAACTCAGGGCCCTTCTCTTCATCTTCTCTTTCACAAAGTCACGATTTTCTTGAGAAGTGGTTTCGGATGAAGAGATCGAGAGACCCTAGAAACTACTCGACACGTCAGCCACAGGCCTGATAGTAACGTTTTTCAGTCAGGAGGCCTGGTTACTTTGTTTTGAATATCAATAGGGATTACGTCACTTGATTTATGAGCGCAGTGAGGGGAGGCTGGACACCCGACTATTAAAACATGGCTCTCATTAAGCCATAACCGCCACAGACTTTTGTGAAAACCGCGGGCGTCTAAGTCCCAGATCTTTAAACACCGAGCGATATTGAACCACGTGATCCAGTCGGACGCGTGGTCCATTCTGATGTAAAAAATATAAGTCTTGTCCTTCGTTGAGGGGACGAAATCGTTGCGGTTTGTGCATGGATTTTTTGAATGATCCAAGACTTCAGCTTCTCTGAAAATAAAAGGAGCGAGTTAGAGAAACCTGAGAAAACCATCATTAAAACTGCCGAATGTCTTATACATCTACATATACATCCACCTACATATACGTGTCGATTCATTGTTTGAAATTGTTAAAATAGCAGAATGTTTGATTTGGGTAGAACCAGTGAACGTTAATTGACAGTAATGTAATACAACTATTTTTAACCTCGGGCAACTTTCTGATCTTGCGCTATAAACCTTTTAAATTCTTTGACTTCCCCGTCATTTTTTTCGAATACCTTTTGATGTTAAATTATTATGTTTTTATGTTTTCGTCGTAAAGTTCGTTAAACCTGTTGGCGAATCTTAGGTTATCAGTTCGGTTTCGGAGCGGGTGCTTTTCACATGACCTCAAAAAAAAAAAAGATTCAAAAGGCGAGAGGTAACACTAGTTCGACGAGGGAAGAATGATAATGAATGTTGTTCCTATGAATAACTTGATTGTAGTGACTCGTTTTATCAGTAAGACACTTCAAATGCACTCAGTTAGTTTCTGCGTCATCAAAGACACGGTAGGCAACAAACGATGACTCCTTATTTCTAATTATAGTTCTTAGTTTTGAGGTGGCTGGTTAACTGACCACCTACCCCTCCCCTAAGGCTTAATTTACCCTAAAGTGAGAAGTAAGAGGTATTGACATAGGGGAGGGGTTGGTAGTCAGTTACCCAGATACCAACAAATCAATTGATCCCTTTAGTCGAGCTGTCTTTATTTTTTATTTTTAATTATTTACCTTATGAGTCTCCCCAGTTCCTTTTCGTAACTGTCCTTGTACATAATGTCCACGTTCAGCTTGACATTGCGTTTATCATTTAGCGCGTGTTTAGTGAAGTAATGATGTTGCATAAAAGGGTTCATGTTTAGGCCTGTGGCCCCAAAATGGTAGGTGCGAGAAACATCCGGGATAATGCACTCACGGTTCTTCCGCATCTCGTTGTCCCTCATCCACATGTCCCAATCCCAGAATACATCGGGCCCTGGCCACACGGGTTCTAATTCTCCTTTATAAAGTTTTCGGCTAAGTACCCTGGATATTTAAAGAAAAAAGTAGAAGGTTAACACGAACCCTTGAACACGCGTAGTTGGCCGTTAGTTGAGTTGACTGAGTGGCACATACGCCCGTAATGTGCCAGCGAGACGGCACACTATTCAGATGTAACATTGTTAACATGCGCAGTTGGTTAGTTTATGATTATGCGAGACATACGCGCGCGATATTTGACGTCACCTAATATTGCGCGTGGAAGCCCCTGTCCCCTGTATGTCGTTTACAGATTACGCCAATCGGTTGCGGTCTTCAAAGGTTCCTGTGTAATGGTTTGGAGAGCATCACACAGGAGAATCTTAAATTTGTTACCGTTCCTGTGCGATAGCGAGGAAAGAATAACACATAAAGAGAAGCTTACATTTCTGGCCGTTCCTGTGTAATGGACAGGAGATCATCATCAAGAGAAGTTTAAATTTCTTACCATCCAAGGCCAGGCATTGTTTCTACTCTGTACATCATTGCGGGATCCTTAGCTGTGTGAGCATAACCCTGGCAAGAAACACATTTAAGCCAGGCATTAATCACCATTATCATATAACCGTCCACAAGGACTTACTCAGTTTTGGTCAAGGTGTTCAGGTAATTTGACGCTGAGCTACGACTTGACACGTGTCTCTTATTTTGATTGAAAGAGAGCGGTAAAGTCGCAAATTACGAATTAATTGTCCGTTAATGACGTCGGCATTATCCGAGATTTATCCGAAGTCGTCCGAAGATAGCGGAACTCCTTTCGAATATTTCCGAACTCAAGCTGCAGAATTATTAAGCAGTCGATCCGAAAAATTCTTTGCCTTATAAGATTTAGTAGCTGCTATGTTGTAGAGGTCATATCCTAACTTAAGCGGAGTGTGGATTTTCTAAACACTGTTGTTAATCTTACCTGATCGTTCCAAGCCGATATGCAGTAGAGACTTTCGTCTTTTTCTAAGACAGGAAGAAGTTGTTGAAAGTAGGTGAGAATATCTGGAGAAATGTCCAGGTCTTCTTCAAGTATCACCAAGTAGTTAGCATCAGGGTAACGTGCAAAAGAGGCTGTCAGAGATTTCTTGTAGTGCTGTGGACCAACGATAAATGCTTGTCTCATACCAAGACAGAGAGGGAATCTTAGGACGTTGGCCGAGATATGTAGACTTCACTAAATTTATTTTTGCAGGTTGCAATTAAACGGAAGTCGGATCAATTAGGAGCCTGGGAAATTGCCCACCTACCCCTTCCCTAAGCCATCATTTTGCTCAAAGTGAGAAGTAAGTATTAATGTTAGCCTAGGGGAGGGGTAGGTGGGCAATTGCCCAGAAACCTTAATTGATCCCGGAAGTGTAATTCCTGAGACGTCCGAACATTTTAATCGATTGTTTAAACGTCATCAAGTCCACGCGCGACCGCCTCAAAGCGAACAATGCAGAATATTGTAATGGTGAATTCTCTCTTGACAATGCTGAATAAAGTTTACCAACCTCTCTGGAAACCAACTTCCGATTAACCCATGCAAGCGTTTAATTGGTCTAGAATAAGCTTTGCTGAAATTCGCATATCTTAGGAACTAGACCGGGCGTTTCCCTCTCTCTCCCTTAAATCCCTCTTGACCACAGCTAAATGCTTGTCTTATTCAGCAAGAGAATTCCACGTTGATCGCTTATAAATATTGAGAGTTACCTGCACTATTCTCGCGTGTTACCTGGACTATTCTCGCGTGTTACCTGGGCTATTCTCGTTTGTTACCTGGACTATTCTCGCGTGTTACCTGGACTATTCTCGCGTGTTACCTGGGCTATTCTCGCGTGTTACCTGGGCTATTCTCGCGTGTTACCTGGACTATTCTCCGTTGTTAACCGGACTATTCTTGCCTGTTACCTGAGCAATTCTTGCTTGTCACCTGGGCTATTCTCTCGTGTTACCTGGACTATTCTCGCGCGTAACTGGGGCTATTCTCGCGTGTTAAGTAGACTATTCTCCCGTGTTACCTTGGTTATTTTCGCTTGTTACCTGAGCTATTCTCGCGTGTTAACTAGACCATTCTCGCTTGTTACCTGGGCTATTCTAGCGTTTTACCTGGACTATTCTTGCGTGTTAACTGGGCTATTCTCGCTTGTTACCTTTGCTATTCTCCCATGTTACCTGGGCTATTCTCGCGTGTTGCCTGGGCTACTCTCGCTTGTTACTTGTCCTATTCTCGTGTGTTACCTGGACTATTCTCGCGTGTTACCTGTGCTATTCTCGCATGTTACCTAGGCTGTTCTCGCGTGTTACCTGGGCTATCCTCGCGTTCTTCTCACTGATAGGCTCATGTTGATCAACCCTCAGACCAAACATCCGGGCAACATAGGCGGGCTCATCAAAGAAGCCGTCAATAAAAACCGTTACCATGGAGGGCATCAGCCCCTGGACTTCCCGCAACGTCTTTAGCATTCTGAACAAGTACTGGGGTCGATTACTGGCCATGACTAGAACCGGAAGTTCAATGCGTCTGCCATCAGGTAAAGGAGGGGGCTCAAAGGCGATTGACTCAGGATTGTTACCTTCAAAAAAGGACAAGGCAGTATGTAAAGATACTAATCGTCTTTGAGGCAATTTTATAGTACCTTATCGCATTCGTCATAACGCATCCTAATCTGATGTTCCCGTGGCAGAAATTTTCGAGCTATCACGGGCGACTGCCGATCAGCTGCCCCTATTAATTTTATCAGGGGCTTCTCGGCCGGGAAACTGGACTCCTTTCGAGTCGATTTTGTTTCCGTAAGTGACGAACTTCGATCCGTAATCAATGATTACCTCTACCATAAAGGGTAGAACAAGCATAATATGTAAGCGTTTTACGCGATCGACTTTTATATTCCTCTTTAACGAAATACAGAGCCATATGACAATTCGGAATGGAACATGGTTTTTAAGCCAGTTACTTACAGTTACAAATGCCAGTATAGCCATCAAACGTATCACAAAACTGTCTCCGTCGATGGTTCTCCTCGTTGTCTTCCCAAGAACACTTCACAACGCTTTCAGGCCTGAGCGGAACTGTTGTGTGGATGGTAACGGGTGGCGCCCAGTCATGTTCGATTGCTGAATGCTGGAAACCCTCAGCGTAAACAAACTTTTCGTTGTTTATTCGCTGAGCCACAAATGCCCACATGTCTCGCCAGCCTAACTGGTTAATGAAGCTGCTTCCCAGTTTTCTGATAAAGCTGCGAGCGTAGATCATTAAACTTGCTGTAGCCTCGTCCTGGAATAGAGACAACATCATCATTATCGTCTTTTTTATTGTCAATCTATCATTATCACCGTTTTATCATCTTCTTGATCATCATCATCATCAACAACAACACTATCATCATCATCATCATCACCTCATCTTCATTGTTCGGACGGTTATTAGTGGAGCTTCAAAAGTATTGTAATAGCTTGTTTCGGCACAGCTGTGTCTCTCGAAAAATTAATCCATGAAAATGTCTTCCTTTGCTTAATTTGCAAGCGCTTTCCAAAGCGTGGCACAAGCAAAATACCTTTACTAACTCTCAACGTTGAAAAACAGCTCTCCACCCTTGCTTTCTCCCTCCTTTTGTTAATGGAATAACCAGAAACCCCTGCGTACAGTTCCCAAAAAAAAAAAAAAAAAACTTAGTTCTCACATACCCTAACGGCAAAACACAGGACCCGACCTTCCGCCAGACTGTTGATGAAGTTTATAAGCTGTTTAGAATCTGCCTTTGAGGAATATGTATCAAACCCTCGTACTGCCATAACATCTCCGGTTCCTTGATTAAGAACAACTACGTTTATTCCTTGGCGGTTTTCTGCTGTTACTTCAGAAACCTAAAAAAACAACCGTAAACTAAACTAAGCATTAGCAATTTCTTCATAAAGGGGATTAATTACTTACCGTCTGTAAACTGCCTTTTTTTCTTTCGTATAAAAACTCACAATATCTTTATTTAACTACTCATAGTATTCTGCGGATAAATATACTTCCAAAATCTGAAAAAGGGACCCTGTTAGCTGAGGAGGGTGCGAAAGGAAATGCAAAACGAGGAAAGAAGAAAAACGATTAATTTAAAAAACGCTGGGGTCAATCTTGTGTGCAGTAGTTTCGGCCTAGTAATATGGTGATAAATGTGACAGTTCCTGACTTACCACTTAATCTTGTATGGAATAAAAGCAAAGGGTCCGTGATAGTGGCGAATTTTTATCACAACCATATATATATATATATATATATATTTTTTTTTTTTTGTTTGGTTTGGTTTGGTTTATAATTTTAGTTTCGGTCGTGCACCGACAAACGTGCATTAGTCCTAATCGCGTAATATACTTACCAGTTTTCCGTTGACTACGAATGAGGCGTTTCCTTTGCTCGAGTACACCTGAATATCTAAATAAGCTAAAGTGAAAGATAAGAAAGTGAGCTATATTTTAATTCCCTTTTTCTTAGTCGAAAAGCTGGGAAAACAAGGTCGCCTTTTGTTGTTAACGTTTATTATCGCTTTTTTGTGGAGATTTTCTGTCAAACAATTAATCACACTGAATATAAAAGAAATCAGTCAGAAAATACAAATAGTAAGTATTTTTTAGTTCTTCTTCAATATGGCTAAAAGCAGTTATTGTCATTTCATTCTAACACAACGTTAAAGAAATAAAAGCTTGTTTAAAACTTGTCAGTTTAAAGACGAACAACCAAGTTTTTGAAATAGCAAAAACATGTATCCTTCTAACTGGCACTTTCAGAATAAGTCTACAAAGACGGAAAAACCAATGTGGTTCCTCTATGACCATTTCCCCCCTTCTTTGTTCCAAATAAACGTTTATTTTAGTGACATCTTCTCATGAAAACATGCATGTATTCATTTTAACATTGACTCTCTCGTCGCCTACCGGTAAATTGTCAGCGTTTAACTGTCAACATAAGTTGAGCTAAGTTGCCATTAACCATTAAATCATTGTTACTTATCATGACTTATTTTAAAGCGTCGCCTTTGTCTAGTGCAGCTTTGAATGCTGTATTTAATAGTATCGATCTAAAAACCTATGCAAAGTAAAATAATACCCAGCACAGCATGACAGAAATGTAGTGTACACATATGTAGTACCTGTGGTTTTAGCAGGTTTTAGCTCTGCTGCTCGGCGTAACTCATCTTCAAGATTTCGCGGAAGTGACTGTCGACGACCCATTGGGATGTCAACTGCTTTTTCGGCGTCGCTGTTCAATTTCCTAGTTTCCATTATAAACAGTATGTTTCCTAAAAACGTTAAAACCACTACCATACCCAATAAAATTCGAATAAGTTTGTTCATGGTTGTTTTACGCTCGATTCTCACAACGGTTCCTGAAAATGGGATTTGAATTTTAAAATTCCACAGTTTTGTGTTTGAATCTTTTCGAGTTTTCATTGCATTTTAGTGCGGTCGTATATCCTGTACGGCTGATTACATGTTTTTGCCAAGCGAGTTCAGTTTAAAACAACACGTACGGCGATCGGGACAGCATTTGCCTTGATGATGTGGAACGAGATGGAAATCGATTCGTCAAATTGTTTATTCAACACGTTGAAACACATTTTGGGTCATTTTGAGTTACGAATTTTTACCCTGACCCTTAACGTATCCTAGAAACTTTCAAACCCATCTTTTCAATGCGCACTGACGATTTTATTGTTTGTTTTTGCTAATGTATTATCATGAACTTTCGTTGATTTCATGTCATTATTAAGCATGAAAAACAATCTTTATTTCTCTTCTTCTGTGTTGAGTATCTTGAGATTTCATCACTTGATAAACAGCTACGACCTCACAGACGAGGCTTCTGAAAGTAGTTTCAGACTTTTCATAGACTTTCAGATGAATTACCCTAAGGCACATAAATAGCGAATACATGACTGTCTAAGAAACGTGACTGAGAGCATATCAGATCATCTCGCAGTTTTTCTTAAAAGTTCTTAGACTACGAGCTCTACGAACGCCATAGCCATTTGCTCTGAACAAGGGCTAGCGCTTGAAGCGTTAGCTCTTTAATCCCCTTACGGTGGGTAATCTTCTTTATAAACTATACTCAGTTCATAAATCAATTTTTGCATTTGATTCCCCCGCGGACACAACACTACAGTTTTTCAGAAAGCAAACCCTTCATCCTTGTAATCTTCGCGTCTTGTGTACAAAATCCTTTAGCCATTGAAAAGAATCTTCCTTAATTTTTAAAACAATTAGAAATAATCCATTATTTTTTTGTAAATTCCTAATCCGAAGAGCTGTTGGTCGGATTCAAAGCTAAGTCAATTTATGATTATAAAACCTTGCATGTCAATCTTGAAAAACATCATCTGGCGAAGAAGTTCTCGTCCGCTGGTCTTGTTTCTGTATTCGGCATATAAATAGGTTCCAAGTCATTTGGTTTGTGAGTACAGTAAGGTGACGCTGGGCATCCAATATATAACACATGATTACCCTTGACCCACATTCTCCATAAACTTTTATGAAATCCGCGAGCGTCTAGATCCCAGATTCTAAAACATCGCGCAACGTTTATCCACGTCGTATAGTCGTTAGAGCGGTCCATGCGGATGTAGAAGAGATAGATCTTGTTTTGTGTATCAGGTACAAAGTCTTTGGGATTCGTGCAAGGAGTCCTGGAGTGATCTAAAAGTTCGGCTTGACTGAGGGGAGAGAAGAAACGAAAATAGAGATAATTAGATTTCATTGCAAATGTGAACGTCTAGAAGGATGTCGTTGTATTGTGAGGCTTCTTTTCAATCCTGGTTACTACACTCAAGGCGTAGGATGGAATCTTTGGTAAGCATCAATCCTGGGGGAAGGGTTTCTTATATAAAAGTGACTTGACGAAATGCTATTCTTCTCGCTAAGGGGTGTAAATCGCAGATTTTGGACTCACTTAGGGTGTTCAGGACTGTTTCGACGATTTGACAAAACTCAACGATTTCAAAACTTAAGAAAAATAACAATACCAAACAAAAAAGACGAAACAAACCTAGTGAAAAGCTTGACCGAACTACATTAGGCCTGCGAAAAAATCACAAATCGAACAACACGTGCTTACCCTGTAAAATTACTATTCAATTTCTTTTAGATTTTCTTTTTCACGTTTTTACACTTTGAATGCACTCCATATTAGGGGGGGAAAAGCTCCCTAAAATGTGTCTAATATAAAAATAAACCGGTCTGTGTTAACTCCGTGACATAGTTCCTCGCTCCTTTTAATGGATTCTTACCCAAAGTTAAGATCAACTTTTCATTTAGGGCAAAATATTTGGTTAGGGGAGGGGTAGACGGACAATTTTCTAGAATCTTTTAGGAATGATACCTTATCAGTCGCTGTAGCTCCTCTTCATATTTTTCCTTGTACATGATATCAGCGTTTATCTTAACACTTGGTTGAGCATTAAACGCATGTCTTTTAAAATAAGCTTCATTCATGGCCGGGCCCACATTCAAACCCTTGGCGCCAAAATGGTAGGTACGAGAAATATCTGGGATTATACATTCACGGTCTTTTCTTTGTCGGGGCATTCTCATCCACATGTCCCAATCCCAGAACACATCAGGGGCAGGCCACTTTGACTCCAGTTCACCTTTGTAGATTTTTCGACTAAGTACCCTGGAATATAAGCAAGTTTAATGTCAGCATTACTTAAAAAAACGAGATTAAGGCTATACCATTAAAGAAAATGAAAGACAATGGTTGTTTTGCCATATATTTGACGTCCTCCGAAGGCTCATAGTGCATATAAATGCAAACTTCCCCAACGGCCGTGTTTTTTGGTTTTCAGCACAGCGCCTCCGCGAATTGTGTTGGTAGCGTAGTTTTGTCAACTTTGATCTCTTGTTACCCCTTCATTTTCCATTTTATGATTTAATTTTAAAGAGCGTTTTCACTCACGTGGTCAGCAACAATGAATGAATGAATGACTGCTGATTACAGTGTAATCAGCAGCAATGCAATTTTATCGGATCAAAAGAAAGTTTATAGATGAGAAAAGAGTTCAACTCTCACAAGAGTTTTTTGGGACACCAACATGACGGATATGACGTCACGCGAAGACTCAAATATGAGATACAAATTAACTGACATAGACTGTTCACAGTCCCCTATCATCCCGTAAGATCGTCGAGATCGAGCGCTTTGCGTTGCGGGCTGCTATCTTGCATGAGTGTCAAAACTACTATTTGAAAATCAAGATGGCCGCCACTAATGGTAGAACGCGCTATATCTCCACGATCTCACGGAAAAATAGGGGACTGTGAACAGTCTATAACTGACAACAGTCCTGCGTTTGATGGTTTCCATGGTTACCATACTTACCATCCAAGACCTGGCATTGTTTCAATCCTGTATGTCATAGAAGGATCGCCTACAGTGTAATCATAGCCCTGTGGGAAAATCAAAGGAAAATGTCACATATATATTCTCTGCCAATAAATCAAATCTTCTTGGCACGTGGTAACTGATTTTTTGTGATTTATCAAGCTGATTGTTGATAAGAAACCCAGAAGCGTTCAGTTCCTATCCTCTCTTCATCTCGTAAATCCACGGAGTCATAGCAAGCTACTTTAAGATAGCTTATAAGATGCAAGAGTTTTAGTGTTCATATTTGCAAGGTAGAGTCAGTACGTATCTGTATATTACATAGAGTTAGACTTGGTGACAGTTATAACATATTTTGTATATCTATCGAATAAGCTTCTTCGGGAGCCTGAACTCTGGAGCGACACGGGAGAGAAAGACAAGACAAGACAATTCAAGAAAGGTGAGGGAAAGAACGACAGGAATTCAAAACCTCGATCGGACATATCAATTTTGTCTTTCTCCAGGAGAGGCTTGCACAGTACACCCACGCTCACCCCATTGCCCTCCACCGGTATCTCCCGGTTGATTTTCGCTAACCTGATCGTTCCAAGCTGATATACAATAAAGACTCTCGTCGTTTTCCAAGACTGGCAGAAGCTGTTTGAAGTAGCTGAGGATATCAACAGATATGGCGAGATCTTCTTCCAAAATCACAACGTAGTTTGCGTCAGGAAATTGATCAAAAGCTGTCGTTATCGATTTCTTGTAGTGCTGGATAAATAGAAATTACAAAACAAACAAAAACGGGTTCAGTAAACAACAATGAATTCATATGTGCGATATATCGCACACTGTGTAGGTGTCATAAGGTGTTCCACTTCCATCTTGCTATGTCCGTGGTAGTTTCTCTACAAGGGCGGATCCAAGATTTTTTTTAGGGGGGTGCATTCGTCTCTTGCTCTACTTCAACACCAATAAACGAAATAGTTTTTTTTTTTTGCAGAATACCAGTTGAATTAGAAAACCGCAGGTCATCTCAGGGGGGGTGCGCATCCCCTGCACCCTCCCCCCAGATCCGCCCCTGCTCTAACTCTCCTATACTTCGAGTAGCGAATCCGATCTTTCTATGCAATAGCTATGTACAAACCCGGGGGGCTACTTTAGGAATTTCTGGGTGGGGATGTGCCGCTGGGACCCTGGAACCTTTAAACTATACCAGAGCTAGTTCAGCTGAATTTTGCTACCCTATACTAGATTAAACTCTTCAATCCCCCCTATCCTAGAGTAGCTGTTTTCCAGAAACTACTGAGGTCACTAGCATAGTCTAGCCAAAACAAAACCTTATACCACAATCCCTAGTCTAGATAAATCTGATCAGTGTCCTAAAAAATGATACCCTATTCTAGACCCAAACGCTCTGATTTATATACCCTATCCTAGAGTAAACTGCTTGAAAACCATACCCTTCACAGCGGCACATACACCTATATAGCCCATATATGGCAGTACCTCCCCCCCCCCTTCCCACCCCCCCGGGTGTACAAATCACCAACCTGGCAAATCCTTGAGTTCTTTGAACTGACACCCTCATGTTGATTAACTTTCAGACCAAACATCCGGGCAACAGAGGCAGGCTCATCAAAGAAGCCATCTATAAACACCGTTACCATGGAGGGCATCAGCCCCTGGACCCCCCGCAGCGTCTTGAGCATTCTGAACAAGTACTGGGGTCGATTCCCAGCCATAACAAGCACCGGTAAGTTGACACGACTGCCATCGTCCAACGCAGGGGGGTTAAAATCTATAGAGTCCGGATCTTGACCTGAAAACGTAAGATATTAAACGCCTGAAATGAATTTACGTTCTAATTCGGTACCCCGCTCAAACGAATACAAAACATTTATCACGTGGTTAGCAACAACGAGTGTGCCAACACGAGCCATGTGCGACCCTCTTAAGTGTGTCTTTTATAGGTCATATGACCTCAAATGAATATCGGAATGTCAACGAAAGCAACGCAATAAATACTAAGAGCCAATACAATTTAAATACCAAAATGGTATTGTACAGATTACTTCTTTACTTAATGCATCAATAAGTCCAATAAGCGTTATGAAGTTGGCGAGGTACTTCGAAGAGTTCCGATAAATTCCGTCCAGTGACCTGAAAACATTTGCGTTTTTTGTGTTCCAAGGAATTCTAAAGTTGATACGACACAAAGATCCCCATTGGTCGTTGCACTACAAAATGAACTTCAAATACTTAAAACTTTTCATGGCTGTCAGTGATGTTAGCTACTCACAGCGACACACTCCTTCGTATCCGTCGAATTTGTCGCAAAATTCTCTTCTCCTTGAAGTACTGGCATTCTCCTCCCACAAACAGTGACTATATAAATCCCACTGGCGTTTTATTGAAGTTCGGATCAAAACATCGTTTGCCCAGATGTTGAACTCTGGGGATTTTCGATGACTTTCGGCGAATGCTTTCTTCTCTCTCCCGTTCCGTTGAAATATAAATGCCCACATATCTCGCCATCCCACCAGGCTAAAATAACTGCTTCCAAGCTTCTCAATGTAGCTTCGTGTGTCACTATTAAGTTGCATGGAAGCTTCATCCTATTGATGGAGGGAGACACTTTAGGTCAGAATCTGATGAGTGAGAGTTGAACATTTTTTTTTTCAGTAAATTTTTCCTGAAGCCGTTGTGCGATTTAAGGTAACTCGGATTCCGTTACCCGGCAAAATTTTTCCTGTGGAATCCGGAGTCACACAGCAGATTTTTGCTCACGTGGAATACAGAACCCAACAAATCTTTGCCTGAGGAATCTGCAATCCTGCTAACGATTGGAATCTGCAATCCAGTTTCCTCTGACAAGCGTCCGAAATCCACTGCTTGTAATCCAAAAACTTATAATGGTGACTTAGGTGTGGTCACAGAGTAACCAAACAAGCGAGGAAAAGAGCTAAGGTTAATCTGAGAATAGGGTACTTTTCTTTGCATTATCTTAATTGATTGACTGGGAAATCGCCTGTGTAAGAGAAAGTAGAATCCGCGAAATTTGTGCTTGTGGTTTGCGGAATTCTCGGATTTGGAATCCGGAATCCCTAAAGATTACAATATTACAAAAATCCGGGATCTAGTACTTGGGATCCGGTATCCACGTGGTAGGATCCAGAATCCAAAACTGTCCTGCATTCCTTTACATGGGTGGTTGGGGGGGGGGAGGAAGGGATATATTAGCCTCTCTCTAAGTTTCCAAGCAACAAGGTTCTATTCTCATAGTGTTTTGCTACTTGCATAATCCGGTATCCGTTAAATAAACTTCTGTTCAAGAAGTACCACGATAAGCGTTGTCGACATTAAGGAGCTTATAAGTACCTTACAACGACGGCGACGGCTATGAACACGTCACTTAAAAACAGTGAATTCGCACTGCGTCAAACTTTCTCGCGCTTTATACCATCTCCTTTAATTTGTCAAATGCTCGCAAATTTTTTGGGAGTTGAATTCTAAAGGATTGTATCAAAGTTCAGGAATCGAAAAAGAAAGTTGTTGTCTTGTGTTCCCGTCCTCTACAAAACGTGAATTTAGGCACTTTCACGTAGTAGTCGTGCAACGACTGCCAAGAAATGTACAAAAAGGCGTTTTGTTTTACTAATATAAACTTCTCGTTTTTTTTGCCGTTCTAGACTGCAAAACAATCCGTATTTTTGCGTATTCAAGTACGGGCGAGCAGTCAAACAAAACGTCTGGAACGAGGCTGAAAACATAGAGAGAGACTGGGGAGAGACGCTCTCGCCTCACACGCGGGCGTGTGAGGCTCGCGCGCTTCGCGCGCGCAAGACTTTTACGCCACGCCTTACCGATTTCTTAACTGATTTTGAGAAAAAAACCGACTGTTTTGCAGTCTATTGCCGTTCTCGTTGCCGCCGCCGTCGTCGTCGCTGCTTAAGCTCCCTCTTTGTTAAGGAGACAGTGTGATATGTCCCATAATCATATATACATCACCTTTATAGCCATGCACACTATTCTTCCGTCTTGTAGTTCCTCAATGAATTTAATCATTGCTCCTCCTTCTTCCTTTGAGGCATATGTGTCAAACGCTCTTACAGCCATAGGGACACCCGTCCTCTGATTTAAAGCAAAGACTAAAATTCCGCGCATGTTTTCCTTGGTGACCTCTGAAATCTTAACAACAGCGTTACATTGATTTTTATAGTGATCAGTACCGGTTTAGACCAGGGGAAGAAGCGTGAAAACGGTACTACCCCTTTCGGGCGGAGCATCCCAGGAAAAGCCGTCATCAACGGGGAGAACCCCCCTCCCTCAGTGTGCTCGGTACCAGCTTAGACCAGGACAAGAATCATGAAAAAGGTACCCCTTGGGACGGAGCCTCCGCGTAAAGGCGGTCATGGTGGGTACCCCCTCGGTCGGAGCCAGCTTTTGTGTTCAAGATTTCTCAGGAACATTTTGGTTACCAACAAGAGCCGATCGGCTCCTGTTACCAAAGTTAGTTTTGAATGGTAGTTAGTTTTCATAGGCAACCAAAGCTTTAATCCAGCCCTATGACAGAAAAAACTAGCGTCCAGCCTCCCGGTCACTGGCTTTGCGACACGAAAAACTATTTAGGGACCGGTCATTATTTATCGCTGGGAGGGGGAGGGGGTGGGCGGGGCGGAGGATTTGGGGCTAAACAAGGTGAAATTTAGCCGATCCCCCCTTTGAATGTTACTTTACTGAAATGATCCCCCCAATAACTTTTGATGACTTTCGCGATCCCCGCCTATGTCTTCATTTTCCAAGCAAATTTGAGTGATCCTTCCTTTTGGGTTCTAAGTTACGACTGATCCACCTTTTGTTCTCCTAAAAATCAAGCGATCCCCCCTTAAATCTTCCGCCCCCCCCCACCCATATGACCGGTCCCTTAACCTGCTCAAGTAGACTCTATGTGCATAGACTCAAGAGTCCATTTACCCTCATGACTGGGTCATCCCTTACCACTTTTCCGTCAACAATAACTGATGCTTTTTCTTTACTTGAGTAAACTTGTACATCCATATCTGTGGTACCTGCAATAGACGTTCGACGGATAACACAAGCAATTTTGCATTTCATTTTGCCAATACTGTCTAATGGCGGGTATGAATATTTTCAATCTCAATTATTGACTTTATTAAATATTCTATAAGGGCCCATCAAGGGCCGTTATATAGGTACAGTACTCACTAGGAGTATAACTTCTTCTTCGTTTGTCATGTGAACGAGCCTTGAAATGCCATGCCATGCAATTTCCGTGAAGAACACACAGATGTCTAGATATACCTAAATTCACTTACATAATGCCCCGTAATACTTAAAAGTGATCTTTTTTATTTATCCGAGGCTTTTTTAGTTTCCTCTCTTATTTCGCAGGCAGTTCATTTTAATGGCGTATGTTGGCTAAATCCTCGTATAGAGCGGCAGTTACTGAATTTGTCACAAAATCAAACATGGCGGACTTGCCTCACAATAATAGACTATATAATGAAAAAACATCGTTGCAAATTCCGTCAGCGTGTGGAAGACGTTTAGAATTTTGTGCAATTTTCCAGTTAGAATAGAAGAGAAATTAAACTAATAAGGGAAGTTCAGCAAACAATGAAATTGAAATTCAAAAATTCTGATATATGTGTGAAATTTTATGTACCATTAAAAACCGCTTCACCAGCTAGCACAGCCTCTCTGAACATCGTCCTCCTCGACGTTTCATGGTTCGTTGAGTCCTTGGTCCTTTCCGTAACATTCATCGTCCAGTTTTCGACCATAAATAGAATGTTTGCTATGGATGTAACAAGCACCACAGCAGCCAGGAGCATTCGTATTAGCTTTACAGACATAGTTTACTTTGCCTACAATAGTTTCGATTCATTCAAAACAAACCGAGAGACATCTTGGCTGATCGTTTCACTGCAGCTAGGCTAAGTCGGGTTTGTAAAATGACTGTAAACCGTCTTAGTGCCACATGTTAAACAAACTGTATTAAAGATCAAAATTAAAAATTATTTGAATACGGTGAGTGATACAAACAATAGCATTTTTCAGAGGCATGTACAAAAGTGTTTGTATCCTTGGTAACAACCATTTGATTTTTCTCTCTAATTCTACTTTTTCGTTTCATATAATTATTTGTCAACTATTAAGTAAAAAGGAAACTGCGAACTCTTAAAATGCGTAAACATTTAATTGCAAAAGTGTTTAATAACATCTTTTAGCTTGCGATTTACTTTATTGTAAGACATAACTTGAAATTTTGCGAAAATCTCCCTTATAGTGACAAACAGGCTGTCAGATTCGCGGATATTCAAGGAGGTATTTGTTTTTATAATATTAAACAAACGACTATGAGAAAATAGAGGGGACTGATGAAAGCGACAAATAAACGCAGTCGCTTAGTTGCATATTGAAAAAACATCGAGTTCCGTTTCATCGTTTACTTGCTGGTACATCACGAACAAGATAGCCTACCGCAGGTTTGATGGGTTCCTGCCTACCGCCGCGCTGTACTATAAATACTATCTGAACGTCTGGAACAACGAGTGGTTGCCCCTCATTGCAAAGGCGATGATTTATTGAAAAAACGTGGAGTATTTTAAAGCCAAAAGAGTAATGAGTTTCCTGCTGGTTGAGCCCGCACAATGAGAGAAAAAATGAGGGGAAAGAGATTTTCTCTGGCGGAGAGGGACCTCCGAAGAGTTATGCGTGATAATTTTTCGCGAATATTTAGGTTTGTAAAGCGTTTATAAGCATCTTTTGTGTTGTACAGGAGAAAAGTATCAAACATGAGACATAACCACGTAAAGGATTTGCAGGTAGCGTTAACTGAGGGTTCTAAAAGGGAAAATGAAGTTGCGAAGTCTTCTCCCTTTTTCTAATTTAACCTCACCCCTCCCCTACTTCACTCAGTTAGCACCTGACTCCTCCCTCCAGGGTACAATATCGCCTCGCTCCAGATCCCTCTCTTTCTTCTAATCAAAAGAACAACAACATGGCGGTCGAACGAGTGCTTTTTCAGTGCTTCATCATATTGAGTTGGTATGTCTTTTGCTGTTTTTCTAATGATCTTTTATACGAACACGATGAAATGATCCGCCATGTTCCTTTGGATTCGCCTCACGTCATACGAAAACGTAGTATAGATCAGCCTCTACGGATTTCGTTGGATTTTCTCGACATCAGCAGATTAGAAGACCAAAACAGCGTAAAAGCTGTTTTAAACAAAGCAACCGAATACTTCAGTGAAACGTTGAAAGTTCGAAAGACGGTATCAAAGATCCTACTTCAGAGGAAATGTGCAAATAATCGCTTTTACTTAAAAAATATAGAAGGAACCGGGCCTGGAGCAATTCGCTTTTGCCAAGAAGCGTGCAATGCCACGAGGATATTGTGTGGTCCAAGCGAAATTCCGGAACACGATATAGACCAGTGTAGAGTTTGCGATAACAACGGGCAAAACTGTCGTAATGATACAAAATCAGCGGGCGAAGGACGTAATAATACGGATTTTATACTCTACGTCACTGCAGTTCCAGATGGAAATTGTAACCATATTAAAACGTTGGCTTATGCTGCAGCATGCCAGCAAGAGAGTGCCCTAGATCGCCCTGTTGTCGGGTTTATCAATATTTGCCCCAAAAAGGTCACGACTAGTGAACTCAAAACAAGCTACACCGAGGTTCTTGCTACAATAAAGCACGAAATATTTCATGCTCTTGGGTTTTCACCTTCTTTGTATGCATTTTTTCGGAATGAAAGCGGCGATCCATTCACTCCACGATTAGAAACCGGCCTGCCATATTTTGATAGTAAACACAAACTTTATCGCTGGAGTGAGAAGGTAAGAATCTGAAGTCATAATGAATATTAGCTCTTCATGATATTTTAACTAGTATTTGAATAGACATTCTATGAATTTAAAACATCTTAAGAATAGCATGACCTGTTGTGGGAACAATTTTGTTGTTTTGATATTCTGAAGGTGTGAGTTCATTATTGTCATGTAGTCTACAAATATAGGTGTAATAATATTATGAGAGGAATGTTAGAGCGATTTTTGTATGACCTGGAAATGCACGAACAAAACAGAAACAAAAAACGAACAGAAATAGAGTGATTTGATTGGTTTATTGAACGGATACAAATGCACATGGGTTTTGGTAGGTTAAGCAAATGAGGGGTATGCCAGAATTTGAGTGACAGGGATGATTGAAGGATTTTTGGGGGTTGAAATTTTCGATTTTAGGATTTTTTTGGGTAGGAAAATTTTAGCAAGTATTTTTTTGGGTATTCAAAGCTAATGTTTCTGTTTTTCGTGTTATATCATTTAATGTTTCCTGGAAATTTTTATGGCTCAGAAATTTGGCATGGGAGTTTTTGGGGTTAAATTTTGGTCCAGGGATTTTTTGGGGTTTTGTCGGAAGCCCTAGCGATTTGGTTGGGTTTTGATTTTTGCCCACATTCGATCATCCCTGTCACTTGAAATCTGGAGTAGCCCCCTTGGGGCTCACTATTCCTGTCCTGCACTTCCCCAGCTGGCCTTTTAATAAACTGTGTATATGACTGTTTCTTCAAAACATTTCTCTGTTTCTGATTGGCTCAAACATCTCAGCTTCATTGTTCATCACCAGCTAACACTGACCAAACTTGAAAGGCATATTATTAACCCTTTAAGTCCCAATAGTGACCAAGATCAATTTTCTCCTAACAATATCCATACACTGTCAAGAGATGAGTTATGAGAATTAATAAAATGATCACCTGAGAGAAAATGCCCTGATCTATCATCAAATTCTCTCACTAATTCCTAAAGGAAATGTATGGAGATCAGTTTAGAGAATTTGTATGTGGATACTGGGGCTTAAAGGGTTAATGTTGCAATATCCAATAAAATGATGTCAAAGGTGCTAAGTAATCGCACAGAAAGTTATGACAACTGAGAAGTCTGGGGAACTGGGTTGCATTTGCTCAGCTTTTTGGCCACAGAAAATGGCGGAAAATTTCATGACGAAAAAATAGCCAAACTTCTACCTAGAAACATGCATGGAACAAGAACTGCAAAAATACGACTCAGTGGATTTGAAAACTGCTATTTAAAGAATATCTGCTAGACTAGACATCTCTTTAAATCCTGATTTGTTGAGGAACTGGCAATGAAGATGAGAACTTAACATTGATTAAGGTTAAATAAAACAATTATTGAATTTTTGCTTTTGTATAGATAATTATGCAGATTCTACTCAGTCTCATTCAGCGACTGCTAATTATAGATAAATATTATTGTAATGCCTGGAAAGCAGTGTGGAATATACGTGTTGTTGTTAAGTCCTGAATATTTTAAACAGTCTGTTCAGGTGTAGTTACTAGTTCAACAGTCCTAAACAGATTTGGACACATGGTCATAAAATAATGATGTTGCAATAACTTACAGCCAAGCCAGGTGAAGCGTACCCCCCAAGCTCCCATTAATGAATTTATTATTTGAAAGTTGAATCCTTTGGTAGTTGTAGATTTCAGATTCATCTCCGCATTCTTGCATGCGTAATGAGCTGTGAATTCACACGCGAGGCAGTTACGAAATTTCTACCAACTTAGCTACCCTGAATTTGATGTAAATGTCTTCTAAGAAATATAATCCATTCAAAGATTTTCAATCTGACCTAATACAGAGAAGTTCTCGTTAGATATTCACTGCTCATTACGCATGCAGAATTTGACAAAAGATGCGGGAACCATGGATTCACTTTTCAAATAATCAATTCATTAATAGAATCTTGGGGGGTACGCTTGACCTGCTTTGACTGTAATTATGGTCATTATGTTGGCACTTCTGTCACAGGTTGTAAAGGAAGTTAGAAGAGAAAACTGGCTCACATCCTCTGGCGCAATAAACCACACTGTTCATTTGTTGGTCACACCTAAAGTCAAGGAAGAAGCACGCCAACATTTCAATTGTAATACTCTAGAAGGTGCTGAGCTTGAAAATCAAGGAGGAAAGGGAACTGCATTGGCACATTTGGAAAAGCGGCTTTTTGAAAACGAAGGAATGACTGGTATTTTCACTCATAACTCTGTTTTCTCTAGACTGACGTTAGCTGTGATGGAGGACACAGGGTGGTATAAAGTGAATTACCAGATGGCGGAACCTTTACAATGGGGTAAAAACTTGGGTTGCCTGTTTGCTAAGAACAGTTGTGGTGCATGGATGAAAGCACAAAGTGATGCTGGTAAATCCATTGCTCCTTTTTGCAATCAGTTAAGGGGTAGTTCTGGAGGGAGGACCAGTTGTTCTGTTGATCGGACAGCTGTTGCAAAGTGCAACTTAGTTCAATATAAGGAACGCCTCCCACAAGAGTATCAGAATTTTTTTAAAGGTTCTCTTCCTGGAGTTTTGAGATTGGAGGCGAAGTATGGTGGGAACATCGCTTTGGCAGATTATTGTCCCTTTTACCAAGGTTTTACATGGACAAAAAACAACAAAGATATAAGGTCTTCATCATGTGTTTCACATCACAACAATTTGGAGCAAGGTAAAAACTATGCTTTAGAAACTTATGGTAATACATCCACCTGTTTTGAACAAACCGTTAAGTGGACAAAAAAGAAATGTGGTGTTCATTGGACGGCATCGAACTGGGGAAGTGGCTGCTATAAATATGCATGTGAGCAGGACTCACTAAAGATCATAATTTCAGGATATAAATTTCAATGCTTTCACAAGGGTCAACATATTAATGTTGCCCTTCAGTATCAAGGTTGGTATTATCAAGGGGTGTTAGTCTGCCCATCTTGTCAGGAAGTGTGTTCTGGCAGTACCATCAGATGCCCCCCAGAAGTGATACCTGCACCGGAAAATTCTCAACCATTACCTAAAGTACTGACTTGTTCTCAAGGTTCAGTCCTGTGGACAAAGAATTCTAGTCATCTAATGATACTGCTAGTTGCGTACAAATTTGCAGTAATTCTTGCACTGTTTAGTTAGCTGTCGTTGTCTAATTTATTTAATATATATACTTTTTTATGGTAAGAAACTGGTCTGTTTCAAGGTTCTTGCGCACCCCAGTCTGACAATTACACTTTTCTTATTTGCGTTTTTGTCATTTAAAAGTGACCCTGGGTAGCAATTTTTATAGCTTGAGAAAACAGCTGACATTGCACGACGCTATCACTGGTTTCCCCATGAAATGATGGCTGAGAAACAAGCGCAGAAATTCCATACTGACGAGGTGACACTACCCAGATCTGGGTAGTAATGCGTTATCTGTATGGAATTTCTGTGCTTGTTTCTCAGACGTCATTTTGTGGGGAGACCTATGGTGGTCTTGGAAAATGTTAGCTTTTTTTTCTCAGGCTACGATTGTTATTGTACCCTAGTGAATAAATTATTATAACATGAATGCCATTGTAAACATTTTTTATTTGTAATTTTTAGTATATCAATACAATGATAAAAATACAAGAAATCTTATGGTAAGATTTGTTTATAATAATATTACATGTTAAAAACATGAAACACAAACACACTTAATATTATTTAAATACCATCATGAGAAAATAAATGTTACAAACTTAACATCGAAGAAAATAGTTTCACGTGTGATATAATTAAAGCTTCTGGGCTGGCGCTATCTGTTTGTTTTATATTATTATTTTTATTCGGAGGGGCTTATCTACGGAGGGAAATTTGCGTTTCAAAATCGATTGGGCTAGCCTTATAGTTGGAAGTAAATTTACCATTTTTGCTTTGTTTTACTTTGTATTTGAGGGCAATTTTCCAAGTACAAGCCCCCGGAGGGCTTATATTTGGAGGGGCGATTTAACAGAGGGTCTTTTGCATTACCAGTTTAGGGGGCTTATATTTGGAGGGGCTTATACATGGAGGGGCTTATTTTCGAAATTTTACGGTAAGGGGTTAACCCATGATTTTTGGTCAAAAATTCAATTTTTTTTTTACTCTGGTGTTCTTTAAAATAGGCTTAGATATGTTATTTAATGTAGTGGTAGATACAAGAGAAGGCTTTCCAGACTACAAAAATTTCATTTTTATATACTTTCAAACCTCTCCTTACGGACACCTCTATAATACGGACACCTCTCTATTACGGACAGTTCGTTTTGTCCCAGAAATGCTGTAGTAAAAAAAATCATACATTTCCCTACGACTCTAAAATGTCATTTTCACTTAGTCGAAAAACCATTTTTCTGTAAATGATTTTGGACACTTAGTTCTGTCCCTGCTTTTCATTGTCCTAGATATGTGTTTTTATAAAGAGGTTTTTGACTATAGTCAAAAAAAATTTGCATTTTTCGGAAGGAGTTAACCCATGATTTTGGTCAAAAATTCGAAATTTCCTTTGAGTCTGCTTTTCTTTGAAGAAGGCCTAGATGTGTAGTTTTATAATGTTGTATTTAAAAAAGATGCCTTTGTAGACAGTAAAATGTCATTTTCACTTAGTAGAAAAATTTGCATTTTTATAAAGGGGTTAACCCATGCTTTTAGTCAAAAATTCGAAATTTCTTTTGAGTCTGCTGTTCTTTGGAAAAGGCCTAGATATGTATTTTTATGATGTTGTATACAAATGGGAAGGCTTTTTAGAGTATAAAAATGTCATTTTCACTGAGCTGAAAAATTTGCATTTTTCCAAAGGGGTTAACCCATGATTTTGGTCAAAAACTCGAAATTTCTTTCGAGTCTGTTTTTCTTTGAAAAATGCCTAGATATGTATTTTTTATGATGTATATAATAAAGAAGGCTTTTTAGACTATAAAAATTTCATATTTACTGAGTCAAAAAAATGCATTTTTTTATAGGGGTTAACCCATGATTTTGGTCAAAAATTCGAAATTTTTTCCTAGTCTGCTTTTCTTTGAAAAAGGTCTCGATATGTAATTTTATGATTTTGTTTATGGAAAAGAAGGCTTTCCAGACTATGAAAATTTCATTTTCATATAGTCAAAAAATTTGCATTTTTCGGAAGGAGTTAACCTATGATTTTGGTCAAAAATTCGAAATTTCTTTCTAGTTTTAATCAAAAATTCGAAACTTCTTTTGTGCGTGCTTTTCTTTGAAAAAGGCCTAGATATGTATTTTTATGTTGTTGTATACAAAAGTAGACGGCTTGTTAGACTATTAAAATGTTATTTTGACTTAGTCAAAAATTTTGCATTTTACCGAAGGGGTTACTCCATGATTTTTGGTCAAAAATTCAAAATTTCTTTCTATTCTGCTTTTCTTTAAAATTGGCTTAGATATGTTATTTAATGTTGTTGTAGATACAAGAGAAGGCTTTCCAGACTATAAAAATGTCATTTTCACATAGTCGAAAAATTTGCATATTTCTAAGAGTCGTCTAAAGGGCCCATGATTGTGGTCAAAAAATCGGCAGCTATTTTGTAAAATAGAGAGAACACGCTAATGCACATGTCAGTTGAAGAAAGTATACAAGTCAGATTATCAAAATGCTCCCACGAGGAACTGAATTTGCGGTTTTCCCGTTCCTTGGTCAGGAAACTAGTATCGATATCTGTCCTCCTAAATGAAAGCCCGCGGGATTTCAGGAAAGCGGATTTACTGATTACTTTGATCCCGTGATGTGACGTATAAGGAAGATTCGAGTTTGGCGTCTCTTCGCGGGAGATAGAAAAAAGCCATTCGAAGCCTATTCGAAACCTTGGAAAGTCTTTGGAAAATGTTCCATTGATTCGTAATATTCCTCCTCCACTACATCTGAATGTGAGTGTTAAAGAAGTTTAGTTATTTGAGCCTTACAGTAACAACGTGGAACCTCTAGTGACTGAAAAAGTAGCCTCCGCATGCAACGGCAGACGGCAGCGAAAACGTCACTTTGACGATGAATTAGCGATTTTTCAAACTTTATCGCGTTTATTCCAATGCGCGGAAAATTTCTAATGTAGGCAAATTTCCCTGGAGTTGATTTCTCGGGGACCGCACTCAAGTTAAGAAAGAGAAAGAAAGTTTTGTCGTCGCTTGTTTACGTCCTCCATAAAACGTGAAATTAGGCATATTTTGGCCGTAGGTTTGCAGTGATGGCAAAGAAATGTACTAAAAAGCGTGATGCACGTGCAGCCCGAACCGAACGTCCATAATCAGGATTAATCAAGAATTCGATTAATCGTTACTGCACTAAAACCAACCAACTAGATCAGATGAATTTAGCAGATGCAATGTACTCCTGGAACCCGCCCTGCCACTGTGCTCTCCTTAACAGTGCTGTCCATTAAAATTTAATACAGGTTTATTTTACAAATTTAAAAAATGAACATTGGAACAAACTCTTAGAAGTCACTGATGCTTGTCTCAGCTCTTCTTAGAGCAGTGGAACCTCAAGAAGGTGGCTCATACCATTGAACCATATTGTACAACTGTACTTTGAAATACTTGAACACAAAAACACAATAGACAATAGTCTAATAGTAATGTAACAATATCAAGAATAATACTACTACTACTAATAATAGACAATGGTCTAGGCAAAAGTCCTAGATTCACTAACAGTCAATCCAAAGGCTTGGCATTTAAGAAAAAGCAAAAGCATAAATTAATAAAGGATAAATATTTCTTCCCTCCCCAGGTGCTGTGCCTTGTCGTGGCGGGGAGGCTTGTGTGCCCTTGGGACCTCAAGAGTTATGATGGCAGGAGCTTGTGCTCCTGGCAGGTTCAGTTGTGCCGGATTGCTCTAAGGTAGAAGGGCCAGACTAAACAGCACCCTGGTCCTCCAGGTTGGGGGTTTGGTGCAGGGTTAACAACTCTGCCTTGTAAAACAGAACATTTTAAATGTCAGAGGTTCCAAATGCCTGCCCTTTTTGTTGAGTTGTCAAACTGGCAATCGGAGGAGCCCACAAATCAAGTCAAGGAAATCCAGGATATCTAACATGCCTACTCATTCAGTACTCGTACTGACCGTTCCTCACACATCCCTGATGCCTGCCCCATACATTCCAGATATCTGACTGGAAACTTGTGGAAGATACTACTTGTATGAAATTGGATTCCTTATGGTGGCTGGATGCTTGTGTATGACCGGATTCCAATGAAAGCTGAACTTGTGGATATGGTGTAGTGGTGTTTGGCTGATGAACTGTTTCGGCAGAAACCAGTGTCACTTGGTTTGGGTTGACCTTTGGGATGATAAGGATTTACTAGGATCGGAGATCCCAGACCACTTGGATCATGGTAGATCAATTCATTTGATCTATCATGATCCGAGTGATCTCAGACCACTTATCCTCATTCAGATCGTCTCAAAGAGCCCACTCTTAATAATCTACATGCCATGAGAGATCAGCAAACATAGAACCGGTCAACCTATAAACCAGTAAGTATGGAAACCAGAAACTCATACTAACTGTTCTTCCCTTTTTGTAGTGTTCAACTACAAAGGCATCCCTTGTGCTTGCCCTTATTGCTGTGGTGTGGACCTGGTAAAGCCAGGATACCCAAATAAGTTGGTACTCAAACTGACTGTTTCTCTACTCCTGTTCTGATTGTGGTCAGTGCACGACCATTTACCTGTCTTCATTTGATTATGGCTATCATTATCACTCTTGCACAAGTCCTTGAAGGAACACAGTTTACGGCAGTCAACATGCAGCAGATTTATAAGAGGAATTAAGAGACTCTTGATCAATAGCAGTTGTTGTTTTTTCAATTTCAGTACACTTTATGCCATGAAACATTGATTTGAATTTAAATGTTGACTCTTTGTACTTGTTATCATATTTCATATAATTATCATTTATTAGAAGGAGTGTGGTGGCAAGATTTCTTGCCTGTCATGTGGAAGAAAGCAGAGCTGGCATGGAGGCCGAGCCACTGTTGTTTTTTCCCTCCACCGTGTACGCTGGATTTGTCGATCAGGTATGTGACTTAATTAAGTTTTTTTGATTAATAACTGTCTAATACCTTTCCTTGAGAATTAACATTACATGGTTTTCAATTTGAAAAAGGCACAAAGAATAAAAAGAGTGACTTGTTAAACAAGTATTTGGTGATACATTGTGATGCTGATTGCTCTCTGGGCCTCCTAAACACCTGTATCAATAAAAATAGCTATTTATCATCTAAAAAAGCCAATTTTGAGCTCTCTGGACCTCCTATTAAAACACCTGATTTAATAACACACCCACTCAGTCAGTTCTCATACTGACTGTTCCTCTTCACTAACTTGTGATCATGGATCCACAACTACATCCCTGATGCCTGCCCCATACATTCCAGATATCTGACTGGAAACTTGTGGAAGATACTACTTGTATGAAATTGGATTCCTTATGGTGGCTGGATGCTTGTGTATGACCGGATTCCAATGAAAGCTGAACTTGTGGAAGGTGTAGTGGTGTTATGTGGCCGATGAACTGTTTCGGCAGAAGCCGGTGTCACTTAATCTACATAACACAAGAGATCAGAGATCATAGAACCGGTCAACCAATAAACCAGTAAGTATGGAAACCAGAAATGCATACTAACTGTTCTTCCCTATTTATCATCTGTTTATCATCTAAAAAAGCCAATTTTGAGCTCTCTGGACCTACTAAACACCTGATTTAATAACATATCCACTCGGTCAGTTCTCATACTGACTGTTCCTCTTCACTTGTTGTGATCATGGATCCACAACTGCATCCCTGATGCCTGCCCCATACATTCCAGATATCTGACTGGAAACTTGTGGAAGATACTACTTGTATGAAATTGGATTCCTTATGGTGGCTGGATGCTTGTGTATGACCGGATTCCAATGAAAGCTGAACTTGTGGAAGGTGTAGTGGTGTTATGTGGCCGATGAACTGTTTCGGCAGAAGCCGGTGTCACTTAATCTACATAACACAAGAGATCAGAGATCATAGAACCGGTCAACCAATAAACCAGTAAGTATGGTAACCAGAAACTCATACTAACTGTTCTTCCCTATTTATCATCTGTTTATCATCTAAGAAAGCCAATTTTGAGCTCTCTGGACCTACTTAACACCTGATTTAATAACACACCCACTCAGTCAGTTCTCATACTGACTGTTCCTCTTCACTTGTTATGATCATGGATCCACAACTGCATCCCTGATGCCTGCCCCATACATTCCAGATATCTGACTGGAAACTTGTGGAAGATACTACTTGTATGAAATTGGATTCCTTATGGTGGCTGGATGCTTGTGTATGACCGAATTCCAATGAAAGCTGAACTTGTGGAAGGTGTAGTGGTGTTATGTGGCCGATGAACTGTTTCGGCAGAAGCCGGTGTCACTTAATCTACGTAACACAAGAGATCAGAGATCATAGAACCGGCCTACCAATAAACCAGTAAGTATGGAAACCAGCAACTCATACAAACTGTCCTTCCCTGTTTGTGGTGCTTAACTACAAAAGCATCCCTGATGTCTGCCTTTTTGCTGCAGTGTCAACATGCTTTTTGAAGGAACCTACCATCCAAAACAAGGAAATCTAGCTTACTCAACACACCCACTCAGTCAGTACTTATACTGACTGTTCCTACGAAAATTATTGTTGTGATCATGGATCCACAACTGCATCCATGATGCTTGCCCCATACATTCCAGATAACTGACTGGAAACTTGTGGAAGATACTACTTGTATGAAACTGGATTCCTTATGGTGGCTGGATGCTTGAGTATGGCCGGATTCCAATGAAAGCTGAACTTGTGGAAGGTGTAGTGGTGTTATGTGGCCGATGAACTGTTTCGGCAGAAGCCGGTGTCACTTAATCTACATAACACAAGAGATCAGAAATCATAGAAACGGCCTACCAATAAACCAGTAAGTATGGAAACCAGCAACTCATACCAACTGTCCTTCCCTGTCTGTAGTGCTTAACTACAAAAGTATCCCTGATGCCTGCCCTTTTGCTGTGGTGTCAACCTGGCTATTAGAGGAACCTCCCACCCAACTCCAGGAAATCCAGGATAGCTAACATGCGTCCTCAGTCAGTCTGTACTTATGCTGACTTTTCCTCTGCTCTTGTTGTGATTGTCGTCAGTGCAAGTACCTTGAGCTATCTGCATTGATTATGGCTATTTTTATTGCTCTTGCAGAAGCTTTTGGAAGACTATACTTTATAGAGCAGTGAACAAACAGCAGACTTCTAATCAACTGCAATTTGGTGGAGGCACACTTCGATTTGACTATGGAGATAATTAACACTTACATAGTAATGCCATAAATCATTGACATTGAATCTTTGTAGTCGTTATCATCTTTTATTTTACATTTTCGAATTTGAAGGAATGTGGGGACAAGATTGCTTGTCTGCTGTGGCGAAAAAAGCAGAGATGACAAAGAGAAGCCATTGCCATTGTTTTCCTGATTTTGAAGACACTTTGGATTGATGGTAAGTGACTTGGCTCCTATTAAGCAGACACTTAACATGTAGTGGACAAATAGCACTGTATAATTCAGATGTCCCTTGTCTTATTCTAAGTAAATAAACATTTACTAGGTGGACACCTCTATTAAGAGGACACCAGACAAGGTCATGTAGGTGTGTATAACTTAACATCCATTTCATTGTTTTACTAGTTGAGAAGGGCAAATCATAACTGTCCGGTAACATTTATCTTCTGTATCTTGTCTTGAAACTACTGACCTGCCTTGAGGGAGAAAGCAGAGCTAAAAAACAGAGAAGCCATTGTTGTTATGTCATCAACCCTGTACAAAGCATGGATTAGTGGCATGTGACTTAAGTTTAGTTTTTGACCTAATTATTCTCTCATATAGCTTTCTCTCTGTAGTTTTCACTCCATGATTTTCATGGAAAAAAGGACAAATCATACCAAGGGTGACCAGAAGCACAACTCTTGTGATACATTGTTTCACTGTTTTTTAACTGATAGTTGATTTTTTTTCTCCTTTTTTTTAGTGCGGTCTTTGTCAATGCAGATCATGAACTGCACAATGTGTCTGGTCACCTTTCTGTGAATTGGATTTGCCTAATAACTGAGATGAAGAGAGAGAATCCAGCCAAGTATCTATTTTACGGAATTCTTTTGTGGAAGCTACCCTCTGTAGAGCAGCTGTCAGAAGAGGAGGTTTTCGTTGGTGTACAGAGTATATTTCCTGGTCATAAAGGCTGAAGTCTTCACACAGGAGCACTTAAATTGCAAACAAAGGTTTAATAATGTTCTAGATAGAAAAGAAACTTTTTTTGACTATAAAAAATTTTTTTCGAAGTCTCAAAAATCTCATTCTCCAAACGGGTTAACTCATCCTTTAGGTCAAAAAATGCCAAATTTTTCTTTATTTAGATTTGGTCAAAATAAGACTAGAAAAAATGCTTAACGACTTTTTAAAGAAAAAAGAAATTTTTTTCACTATAATAACAAAAATTTTTGCAAGTCCCATAAATCGCATTTTTCCAAAGGGGTTAACCCATGCTTCTGAACAAAAAAATGCCATTTTTTTCATTTTTTGTTTTTGATCAAAATAAGAGTTAAAATAATATAAAAAACAAACTTTTTTGACTTTAAAAACAAATTTTTCATTATTTGTTTTCGCTTAAAATAAGAGTAGAAATAAGGTTTAATAATGTTCTAGATAGAAAAGAAACAACTTTTTTTTTTTAACTATATAAAAAAAAAAACTTTCAAAGTCTCAAAAAACGCATTTTTCTAAAGGGGTTAACCCATGCTTTTGGTCAAGAAATTGAATTTTTTCATTATTTGTTTTCGTCTTCAATAAGAGTGGAAATAAGGTTTAAATAATGTTTTACAAAGTCCCAAAAAATCACTTTTTTCTAAATGGGTAAAAAATGCCAAATTTTTTCTTTATTTTGATTTGGTCAAAATAAGGTTAGAAATAATGCTTAATAACTTTGTAGAGAAAAAAGAAAACTTTTCTAGTAAAAAAAGAAAAATTTTGTAAGTCTTAAAAAATGTCATTTTTCCAAAGGGGTTAACCCATGCTTGAGGTCCAAAAATGCAAAATTTTTCTTTTATTTCGATTTGGTCAAAATAACACTAGAAATAATGCGTAATACCTTTGTAGAGAAAGAAAAAAACTTTTTTGGTATAAAAACAAAATGTTTTAAACTTCTAAAAATGGCATTTTTTCCAAAGGTGTTAACCAATGCTTTTGGTCAAAAAATTCATTTTTTTTCGTTTATTTGTTTTTGGTCAAAATAAGACTAGAAACAAGATTTAATAGTATTCTAGATAGAAAAGAAACTTTTTTTTAGATTTTGTCAAGAAAAAATGCTTAATAACTTTGTAGAGAAAAAAAAAATATCTTTTTTACTATAAAAAACAAAATTTTTTGAAAGTCTCCAAAATCGCATTTTTTCAAAGGGGTTAACCCATGCTTCTGATCAAACAATGCTATTTTGTTCATTATTTGCTTTCGCTTAAAATATGAGTACAAATGAGGTTTAATAATGTTCTAGATAGAAAAGAAAGTTTTTTTGACTATAAAACTTTTTTTAAAGTCTCAAAAATCCCATTTTTTTTAAGGGCTCCTAGTTTAGCGATATTCTAGAACGAAAAAACGCCTTTCTAGGCTATAAAAACAACAAGTTCTAAAACTCGAAAAATTAAGATTTTTGCAAAGGGGTTGGTTACCCATGGTTTTGGTCCAAAATTAACCATCTTTCCATCTTTTTTTTTTTAGGCATTATAGACCAAGAAAATGTGTTGTACAACATTCTAGAACGATAAAATGCCTCTCTAGGCTATAAAAAAAGGAAGTTCAAAACGTGGAAAAATTGCGATTTTTGCAAAGGGGTTAACCCATGGTTTTGGTCCAAAATTAGCCATTTCTCAATCTTTTTTTTAGGCATTATAGAGCAGGAAAATGTGTTTTACGATATTCTAGAACAAAAAAACGCCTTTCTAGGCTATAAAAACCGGAAGTTCAAAAGTGGAAAAAATTGCGATTTTTGCAAAGGGGTTAACCCGTGGTTCTGGTTTAAAATTGGCCATTTTTCCATCTTTTGTTTTTAGGCAGTATAGGGTAGGAAAATGTGTTTAACAATATTCTAGAACGAAAAAACGCCTTTCTAGGCTATAAAAACAGCAAGTTCAAAAAGTGGAAAAATTGCGATTTTTGCAAAGGGGTTAACCCATGGTTTTGGTCCAAAATTGCCCATTTTTCCATGTTTTTTTTTTAGGCAATATAGGCCAGGAAAATGTGTTTTACGATATTCTAGAATGAAAAAATTGGAAAAATTGAGATTTTTGCAAAGGGGAACCCATGGTTTTTGTCCAAAATTGGCCATTTTTCCATCTTTTGTCTTTAGGCAATATAAGCCAGGAAAATGTGTTTTACGATATTCTACAACGAAAAAACGCCTTTCTAGGCTATAAAAACAGCATGTTCAAAAAGTGGAAAAAATGTGATTTTTGCAAAGGGGTTAACCCATGGTTTTGGTCCAAAATTGGCCATTTTTCCATGTTTTTTTTTAGGCAATATAGGCCAGGAAAATGTGTTTTACGATATTCTAGAATGAAAAAACGCCTCTTTAGGCTATAAAAACAAGAAGTTCAAAAAGTAGAAAAATTGAGATTTTTCCTGCGGGGGTTAACCCATGGTTTTGGTCCAAAATTAGCCATTTTTCAATCCTCTTTTTTCTAGGCATTATAGGGCAGGAAAATGTGTTTTACGATATTCTAGAAGGAAAAAACGCCTTTCTAGGCTATAAAAACAGCAAGTTCAAAAAGTGGAAAAATTGCAATTTTTGCAAAGGGGTTAACCCGTGGTTCTGGTTTAAAATTGGCCATTTCTCCATCTTTTTTTTTAGGCATTATAGGGCAGGAAAATGTGTTTTACGATATTCTAGAACGAAAAAACGCCTTTCTAGGCTATAACAACAGCAAGTTCAAAAAGCGAAAAAAATTGCCATTTTTGCAAAGGGGTTAACCCGTGGTTCTGGTTTAAAATTGGTCATTTTTGCATCTTTTGTTTTTAGGCAATATAGGGCAGGAAAATGTGTTTAACAATATTCTAGAACGAAAAAACGCCTTTCTAGGCTATCAGAACAGCAAGTTCAAAAAGTGGAAAAATTGCGATTTTTGCAAAGGGGTTAACCCATGGTTTTGGTCCAAAATTGCCCATTTTTCCATGTTTTTTTTTTAGGCAATATAGGCCAGGAAAATGTGTTTTACGATATTCTAGAACGAAAAAACGCCTTTCTAGGCTATAAAAACAGCAAGTTCAAAAAGTGGAAAAAATTGCGATTTTTGCAAAGGAGTTAGCCCATGGTTTTTGTCCAAAATTGGCCATTTTTCCATCTTTTGTTTTTAGGCAATATAAGCCAGGAAAATGTGTTTTACGATATTCTACAACGAAAAAACGCCTTTCTAGGCTATAAAAACAGCATGTTCAAAAAGTGGAAAAAATGTGATTTTTGCAAAGGGGTTAACCCATGGTTTTGGTCCAAAATTGGCCATTTTTCCATGTTTTTTTTTTAGGCAATATAGGCCAGGAAAATGTGTTTTACGATATTCTAGAATGAAAAAACGCCTCTTTAGGCTATAAAAACAAGAAGTTCAAAAAGTAGAAAAATTGAGATTTTTCCAGCGGGGATTAACCCATGGTTTTGGTCCAAAATTAGCCATTTTTCAATCTTCTTTTTTCTAGGCATTATAGGCCAGGAAAATGTGTTTTACGATATTCTAGAAGGAAAAAACGCCTTTCTAGGCTATAAAAACAGCAAGTTCAAAAAGTGGAAAAATTGCAATTTTTGCAAAGGGGTTAACCCATGGTTTTGGTCCAAAATTGGCCATTTCTCCATCTTTTTTTTAGGCATTATAGGGCAGGAAAATGTGTTTTACGGTATTCTAGAACGAAAAAACGCCTTTCTAGGCTATAACAACAGCAAGTTCAAAAAGCGAAAAAAATTGCGATTTTTGCAAAGGGGTTAACCCATGGTTTTGATCCAAAATTGGCCATTTTTCCATCTTTTGTTTTTAGGCAATATAGGGCAGGAAAATGTGTTTTACGATATTCTAGAACGATAAAACGCTTTTCTAGGCTATAAAAACAGCAAGTTCAAAAAGTGGACAAAATTGGGATTTTTCCAAAGGGGTTAACCCATGGTTTTTGCCCAAAATTGGCCATTTTTCCATCTTTTGTTTTTAGGCAATATAAGCCAGGAAAATGTGTTTTACGATATTCTAGAACAAAAAAACGCGTTTCTAAGCTATAAAAACTGCAAGTTCAGAAAGTGGAAAAAATGGAGATTTTTCCAAAGGGATTAACCCATGGTTTTTGTCCAAAATTGGCCATTTTTCCATCTTTTGTTTTTAGGCAATATAGGGCAGGAAAATGTGTTTTACGATATTCTAGAACAAAAAAACGCCTTTCTAGGCTATGAAAACAGGAAGTTCAAAAAGTGGAAAAATTGAGATTTTTCCAAAGGGATTAACCCATGGTTTTGGTCCAAAATTGGCCATTTTTCCATCTTTTGTTTTTAGGAAATATAAGCCAGGAAAATGTGTTTTACGATATTCTAGAACAAAAAAACGCCTTTCTAGGCTATAAAAACAGCATGTTCAAAACGTGGAAAAATTGAGATTTTTGCAAAGGGGTTAACCCATGCTTTTGGTCCAAAATTGGCCATTTCTCAATCTTTTCTTTTTCAGGCATTATAGAGCAGGAAAATGTGTTTTACGATATTCTAGAACGATAAAACGCCTTTCTAGGCTATAAAAACAGCAAGTTCAAAACGTGGAAAAATTGCGATTTTTGCAAAGGGGTGAACCCATGCTTTTGGTCCAAAATTGGCCATTTCTCAATCGTTTCTTTTTCAGGCATTATAGAGCAGGAAAATGTGTTTTACGGTATTCTAGAACAAAAAAACGCCTGTCAAGGCTATAAAAACAAGAAGTTCCAAAAGTTGAAAAATTGAGATTTTTCCAGCGGGGGTTAACCCATGGTTTTGGTCTAAAATTAGCTATTTTTCAATCTCCTTTTTTTTAGGCATTATAGGCCAGGAAAATGTGTTTTACGATATTCTAGAATGAAAAAACGCCTCTTTAGGCTATAAAAACAGGAAGTTCAAAAAGTTGAAAAATTAAGATTTTTGCAAAGGGGTTACCCATGGTTTTGGTCCAAAAGTAACCATCTTTCCATCTTTTTTATT